ACCATCATGATACTGCCATGTGAAGATGGTGCTGCTGATGTGGCTACAGTGGTGATGAGCGACATAGGGGATCAGCCGGGCAGTGCCTGGCGGGCACGGAGATTCTCACTTGTGCTGAGCTCCGTGCCTAAAGCATCCTTCACCGTAGACTAGGTATGGGTATAAATAATTTAACCAACCAAAGTAAGTGTTATATACAAATCGAAACCAAAGTACTGTACAAGCTAACATTATATATGTTACCAAAAGGCACACCAACCAACGTAGCACTGAGATAGATTTTCATATGAGGTGGCTTCTTCTATCAACCGCTCGACTTGTGCCTCGACCGACATGTACCTGTAAGACACATTCACACATGCATGGAAGAATACTATCGTACTGTCCATGATTGAAATCCGTGCCTGTGAGTTTAGTGAGAACTCTATCCACGATAATTCGAGCGTGATGTTGGAGTTCTTCTTGATTGGCTAGAAGTCCTTCAGGGCCAAGAACATGTCGAAGCTCTCTCTGACGAGCCACTTTAATTCTCACAGATGCCAAATGAGGATCACCCCGACCTGATGACGATGATGCCATTGCCAAAAACAATGAACAACCGACCCGCAACTCCGCCAACATCGAATTTCTGCAACGGCCGGGGGACAGGGTCTGCGTAGTTCTCAATCTTCAAACCTCGTCGGCTTTTCCGTTTACCATCCGCTAGCTCGCCACGCTGTGAAGACAGTGATGCTACTCGACTGATGCTACACACGACTACTGCCTACTCGCGCTGCTTCCCCTGATTCGTAATCTCGATGGCCTTCGCTACCACTTGGAGAGGCATTACCTAAACAGACGTGAGGCTTTCCAATTGACAATTGAGCACATGCAAAGTGACCTTCAACTGTGGTATTGACTGATTGTCGAGCCGAAGGGCTTTCCTTAGAGACAGGCTTCTTTGAAGTGCCGCTTTCCAAAGGCCTGAGGATCTTCACGATGCAGCACAGCGATGTTGGCATTGACTCGCCTCGTTGGCATGAGTCTCCATGTGATGAGGGGATCGAAGACGAAAGCCTCCAACATAGCCATTACAGCATCCTTGTTGGTCCGCAACAATTGCATCTGATATTCAAGCATCTCAATTTTGTGGCGCGCGACATTAGTTACCATTTTCTCACAGGTTCGTCTGAAGGAACCCTCGACTCCTGATACTTCCAAAGCATTGATTAACATCCTTGTCAGTCTGAATGGAATCTTCTCGGGGAATCTTTCTCTGAGGAAGAAAAGATCGTTTTCCGTATCCTGCATGCTCAACCTCAACATACTCACCTCAGCATTGCCACCTCAAAGCAGTCGCCGAAATCAATGTGAACTACTTTCCCCGTACCCTGTTCTATCATAATATTCGATGGATGCCTATCTCCCAATCCAAGAACGTACCTAAACAGACATATCTCACTCACATCAAGAGTATGGCGATCTGTCATCCAAATCTGTCGATACAGCGATTCATGCGATGAGTGATAAGCCAATGTTCAAGTACAATTTTTTTTCAAAGGGAATTGATAGCAGCATTCAACCTCTTTTGACCTTGGTTACTCTTCAGCGGGGTGAAGACTTACCCAACAACAGACATGACAGCAAGACTACGAGAGTAGTTCCCTCGGCGTCGTAACCACATCTCACTATTGCGACTCTGTAACCACATAACACGCTCGAGGTCATCACCCTGAAGTGAAAGAGTGAGAATGGAATACGAGCTCATCCTGCCCAGGTCACCGAAGTGTTATCCAATGCATATCTGAGGACCTCTACTTTCTGCAGTAAAGGCAGCTCTTCGCAACGACCATACATTCCTTTCATCAGAGAATACCTGATACACCCAAATACTCCAGGATCAACATGTGCTCAAGAGAACTTCCGAGGTCTTGCTACCCCAAGGGATGGCTACGGTTGTATATAAGCGACGCATCAGTGGTATAGCTACATACTACAGAAAGACCTACGATTGAATCTGGTAGAGCGTGAACTCAAAGACCTATGATGATACCTAGATAACATCCACTCTACCTCAATAGAGAACAACAAGCCTGATGGGCCTATAGGTAAGATCAGTCGTAGACAGTGGTTCGAGGTACACAAGCCTACGAGGATTTTCCTATATTCCCGGCCGCCTACTCAACACTAAGAGGGATGTTGTTGGCGTCTCGATAATCCTTAATTAACTTGTGGATCGTATCAGAGCCGGGCACCCATTCGATCAAGCCAGAGTTGTTGGATAGAGGCACGACTGCGTAGGTTTGGATCTGATCAAATCGGTCAAACGATCGATTCCAATGGCCCAGACTCTCTGCTCACTCTAAGGGAGTTAAAAACTTGATTGACATTGGATGCCAATTTCCCACCGCTATAAACCTGCTGGAACGTCGCAGATCCAGCATTCAATATGCCACCGCGAGAACCTGATAGAAGAAAGATACGCCCTAATGCGCACGGCGAAGATTTTCTCACCTGAAGCTGTATCGCCGAATTTTCTGGATTTCGAGGCCTGTCCAGCCACCAGACTGTTAATAAGACCGAAGAGCTGCATCACACGTTCGTCTTGCTTTAAATCCTCATGGCCCTTCAAGAGATAAAAACGTATCAAATTGACAAGTAGCTTTCCTCTCCCACCTTTAGCACGAACTTGTAACTTCGTCCATCTGATCCCCTCATATGAATTATACGCGGCTTCTGTTTGCTCGCTATTATCTGATACAAAAACCGTCCAAACTCCGCTCCGCCTGATCATTCTCACATCAATGCTTGGACTGAAGTATGATATCGTGACGAGGTCTCCGGCTTCCTCACGTTCAGGTGAGTAAGTGCCGGGAACCGCCAACTCCAGATTGCGTGCGTTGAGTAAGAGAGGAGACACGTATTGTAGATCGAGATGGGATAGGGTTTCAACCTAATCAACATTCAAGATTTTGGTCATTCAACTCACCAAGTGACCATTGTTACCTGTTTATGGATCTTTTGAAAGACCTTATAGTAGATCTGCCAAGCCTGGTCGATCAGGTCTAGCCGTTTGTCATCGGAACTGCCCTGCTCCCCTTCAGCACGGAAGTCAACAATCTCTTGCTGGTGCCGAGCCTCTTCCCGCTCATAGGCGTGGATCCACTTCAACGCTTCACGAAGATCTCGACCGAACGCTTGAGTGAAGGATGTCTCTCTGAATAACAACAGCAACATAAGCTAGGTTGGGAAATCTTCGCTGTGCGCGAGTTGAGAATACCTGAGTGTCTGAGGTCCTTGCAGCATCATCTCATGTAATGGTTTGAGAACTTCGATCATACCGTTGACATCATGCTCGGCATAATACAATCTACTCCCTTCCTCTAGAGCCTCACACCTAGCACGCATGCACACAAAGATACCCATCAATGCCATTAGAGAGCGAACTTAGTAATGTGATTATCCCACATCAGAGTAATAGATTTTAATCTGTGAATGATTCCGTAAATCCGATTGCATAGGGCCTATGCCATAGGCTAATGAGAGCAATTCCGGAGGTCCCTCGCGATCACAAGTTACCGTTATGTTTCAGGACTTGACAACGAGTAACATTATGTGCACCTTACCATATCTCATGCCATAGCATTGATATTCTGATCAGCTCGGATGAGACGAGCTGATTCTGCTGGACGAGAGTCTTCCGATGTGTCTGATGACGATGACGATGAGGAGTTTGCTATCATCACAGTCGTTGAACCAGTGTTAGCATACAGAGATCTCCTGGAGGAGTCGTCTACTGCTGATCACAAACGTGCTCACGCTACTCCGAGTGGCTACAGTCAGCGGGAAGACCAGGGCTTGAGGGTATCTTCAAGAATCGTTCAAGGTTGTAGTGACGGAAATAACTCTCGATGCACCATGAAATAATTCCAACCTACGTTATTCCGACTCGGGATAGTAGCTGATGAACTGTTGTACGCAACGACTGCCTTTTGCTGCGAAGTCTAGCAATGAGCTGAGGTGTTACCTGCCATCATGTCAATTATACCTAAATCGATCACGTGATCGATTATGAATTCACCTGTAACCATGCAACCAGAGGGGCTTGATCGAAGCCTTTCTGGAGCTCTAGTTCCAAATCACTGTCACCACTATACTTGAAACCCAGTGTGATAAGTCGTAAAACATCCTGTCGGTGAGGAATTTCGTGGCGTGTGCCGGTGCTAACAATCTACCTGTAGTTGAGGAGGATCACTTAGAATTATCGACTTTGTAAAGCCCCTAAGGGCATTCAAAAGATAAGGCTTCGACTCTTCCAAGACACCTGCATGGAAAAGTGACGCTACCAGTATTCGAACCAACTCTCCCCTCCACCAAAGTCAGCCTCACCTGATGACTGTGATTGCACTGGTGCCTCTCGCCTCTTCTCAGTGATGTCATCCACACTCGTACTTCCCCTAGGGCTCGACATCCCAGACCCACGATGCTGGTTCTCGATAGAGGTTACGGCATTGTAGTTGGCCAGGGCCCAGGCATTCCACGCTACAGGAGGGAACAATGATTCAATGACGGGCGGAGCGAAGCTACTCGACAACGACCATACGGTTTGAATGTTGAAAACCACCTCTCAGATGGAGTGGTAAATCTCGCTCGCCCAGTGTAATTCACCTTTATAATATTTAGGATCTAGTTTGATAGCGCTCTCGAACCATCCCAAAACATTCTCCAAGACTCCCTCATCCTCGAAGAAAGAAGTCTGAGAGAAGACGACAACATGATGCTTCGATTGAAAACTTCACGCGCCACGAAATTGTCATCTATCCGTAGAGTTCAGAATCTAAGTTCTAATTTATACCGAATCGTCTTGAATCAAAATCTAAAAACTTGCCTGCAAATATTCCTCCGCGAGTTCTTTAGTCCACAACCCCATCTTGAGGTGGCATTTCGATAGCAATTCTATCGGAACCTAAAAACAGCAAACCAGGAATCGAACCTGTGCCTTCCGAAGAGGAAGCCCAGCAGTCTAACCTGCGACTGTGAATAAGAACTCGTCGATCGTTTTCTTCTTCTCGAATGCGGTGAGGACGAGGAAATCCCAGTACCAACGTCGATGATGAGATCAGGATTCATCACAGCTCCGTGTTGCTGGAGGAATGACTGATCACAACACAGCAAAGAGACGTCTCATTAGATCATCGAGCTAATCACAACTAACCTGTAGCATATCTCGTGCTTCCCATCTACTGCCATTAGCATACAGGTTCTTGAGGTACTCCCAGGTCACCACTGGATCTCGCTTCAATGTTGAATCAGCACGAAGCATATCTATAGTCTTCGTAGCGAGAGATAGACGACCGGACTTCCGGCAAAGAGCTGAGGTGACATGATGTGTATCTTTCTCGAGGCAACCTAAGATATCTCCTCACCTGTGAATTTCAACCAAGTTGTCAGGTCCTCACGAGGCGGTACCACCAGCGTCCTAAGAGTTTCAATGAACAACCAAATGCTCCACACCAGATTTGAACCCCGGACCTACCGCAATTCCAATATGGACCACCAAGCCTCCACATCAGGTCTGCAACCCAACAGCCGCCTCGTCCACATATCTCTCATCATCGAACAGCTCTGAGTATCCCCAACATCCTCCAACTGTTTATATCTGTTAGCGGAGCGATGCAACTACCGTAGGAATAATCACCCCCGTACTTGATGATCTCCTCAAGCTCCGTAAGCTGCTGCACTTGGATAAGACACCGGTATGCTCGAGTGTAGCTCTCGCCGATGAGGGCAGTAAGCTCACCATCGAGACTATCACGACTTCGGTGAATCTGAAGAGCCTACCATGCTAGCAGCACCAGGAACGACTACAAAAGCTTTCCACTTCGCCTTACCAATTTGAATGCTCTCTCGTACTGTTCCTTATGTATCGCCAAAATAGCCGCATAAAAGCTTCCCTCGAAGGACATACCATCACTCTCGTCAGTGTCTCCTCCAGCATTCTCCACAGCAGCAGCACTATCCCCATCTACCGTATTATGGTCGCCAACAGTGTAACCCTCCAACACTTTCACATACCTATACACCTCTCGCGATTAAAACATTAGTCGTGGGAAAAATATGCAAGATTTCTGTCCATCTCGACAATGCCTTACTTTTCCATCTTATTCCAGTCTCTTAAGTTGAACTGAGCTGCAGCCGCCATAGGAGCGATGTTGAGCCAGTGTCGCTTAGCCGTGTGGTCGTCCAATCCTCTACAGTTATCCCAAGAGGTCTCACATAGTTTGCCCAATCTCTCCCATTCTCCTAGGGCACGCAGACATCTCATCCGTGATGTCGTCACATCGAGGTTGCCGGGCTCATCCATTTGCCGTATCTCATAGGCCTCGAGAGCTTCGTCCCAGCACTGTAATTTCTCATACCAACTTTCTTTTAATTCTAGTTCATCACCGAGATACCGCTGAGCATACTGCAACACCCCTTGAGCTTCTACCACTTGCCCTAGCTGCATATTGGTGGATATAAGAGCCTCGACACAAGTGGCCGACGGAGATGCCTTAAACTCCATCTCGCGGTACCTACCACTCCAAATCTCAAGAGAAAACGCGAAACACGAGTCGCTTCGCTCCGCTCACCTCAATGCTTTTGCATAAGTGTGGCATTTCTCAGCTAGACCAGCTAGCATTCTATTTTCCATCGGCAAAGGCATGTTAGAGCGGTCCATGAACTCGGCCAGCTGTAACAGCGTTTGAAGGATATCTGGTGGTAATTGGGGGGAGCACAGGGCAAGCTCCAGAGAACGGAGTAGGTAACACTGATAGCTGTCCTGAGAGAAGGATATCTTTAGGTTCAACGGACAAGATACAGAACAGGTCCATATGAAGTCACCTGTAGAGAAGTCCATGTCGCCAAGAAGGCTACTGGGAATAGCTCTTTCGCAACAGGTGGATGCATCTGTGCTACCGACCAACATGCCCGTAATGATTCACTTGGAGACTCCCTCAGAATCTCCAATGTAATCCTCTTCATCCAAAGGACCCATTCATCCTTCGTCCACCTTTGGCTAGCCTCCCATGCTATATGCAATGCTGGGTGATCCGGTACAAAGCTGCATACCTAAACACACTTTATGAACTGTACTGAGTTCTTCTTCTTGTTGTGGTGTTTGCCCTACCTGAGAGCCCGGAGCTACTGTAGTATCAGGTATGCCTCGTAAATCCAAGCCTTCGGAGATGCTCCTTGATCGCATGCCACCCATCGACACTCTAGGGGAGGCGTTGAGACTGTTGAATACTCTGCATTCGTCCTTTCCCTCGGGGGTATTGAAAAGAGCAGGCAGCCCCTGTCGGATGCAAGTACGGTTGATAAGAGGGGCGTAGATAGCAAAACCTTCGCCAAACGATCGTGCTAACTGCCCGAGACACTCTAGGGCAACGCGCTTCAGTTCTAGTGGAGCCGTGTCGTTGTCGATGATCCGGACCAGAGGATGGGTAATACGACCGGAGAACTGGGCGAAGGGTACTTGCTTAGACAATGCTCCGACGACTTTGATAGCTTTCACACGAATGTGCACAGGGGGAGGCACCGCTGGGGAATCTGAAATGGAGGAGAGCAGACCGGGGCTGGCAGAAAAGGACGAATATATGCTTACTTTCATTCACATACGTGGTTGGCATGTAATCGAAGAGATCAGTAAGAGTTGGTATAACGAGATGCATAAACTCGGTAATGGTGGATCCGAAAACGACCAGTGAGGAGAGCACTCGACTGGCGACTACCACATGGTCTTGATTACTGTATCCCAAACCCCTATTAGGAGATAGAAGGTGTAGGATTCGGGGAACGAGGGGTCCCATGTACACCTAAGTGGGTAATGGAAAGGTCCCCGGTTCGAATCCCCCCACCTACCTTTGACTCATGATGATGTTGCTTGCATATTTCCTCTAGCAGTGCTAAAGCAGCCAATATCAAGTCAACTCGATCCGAAGCCCCTGGGGATGAGCCGGGCAGCGCCGCGACCATCACCAACTGGGAGTTCTGTACTGGCCCGCCGGACTCCGAAAGTAGCGATGGTGGTGGCGGGGGAGGAGGCGGCGGTGGTGGATGACCTGACAAGTAATGTTACATTATTAGCATCCTAATAGAGTAGATCCCGTGAGCGAAGAAAATGATTTGGCCGAGGAGTGGTATGAGGCGACACTCACCGGCAGCCCTTATGCTCTCCGGAGGCCACACCGCAGCCACTAAATCGAATATAGACTTGAGATAAGGAGCTATCTGCTTGGCATTAGCGACTTTGACAAGATAGGCCAGATGCCTCAACAACGGGGCCCTCTCGTGGGCGATGGAGCTATCGGCTGGGCTCCTCTGGACCACCGAGATTATCGAGTTCATTATTTGTGGTAGGAAGGGCATCACACAGCCGCCGGCTTGTCGGCCTAGGTGTTGGAATATGGTCATAAGAGCATCCACCACATGGCTGTGATAATCGCTTGGTAATGATGTATCACACAGCATCCTCAATAATGTTGCAACAGCATGCGACGTGTACAACCACCTAAACGGACTCCATGTTGGCCTTTAATGCGAACAACCCGGGTTCCATCCCATCACCAGCCTATTTACTTGCATGTCTGCGGATTATCAGCGCCACTGGCTGCCCATGCGGGGGCACTCGTCTGTGCGAGTCGTTGCTGTCTAACATCAGCATCACCTAGCCACCAAGAAATGGTATCTTCACCACGCATAAGTAAGTCCCCCGGCTACCTTGCCGATCCTGCCGGCCACTACGAGCACTTCCACAATAGTTATCTCCCTCGAAGCCCTACCATGCAAGATATCATCTCAACCATCCATCATCTCCACTCACCTCCTCGAAAGCCATCTGGATCATAACAGTCAAGAGCTGTTGTTGTAGATCCATACCCGCCGCGATGCTCGCCGTGAAGCCACAACAGGCATACGGTGCTGCTGCAGCCGCTGTGAGAATAAACACTTTACGGAGGGTGGACGGGGGAGTAACACCAACCTGCAACGGACTGTTTCCCTTCAAACGGCAAGTCTTGTGTAACCGCCGCGGCAACTACAGCGTGATGGGAATGTGATAAGGTCATCGCCGTACTCTGGGCAACTGTTGCTCCTGTAATTGCTGAGAACAACAGGATCCCAGCAGATATCAAGTTGGATAAGAGTACGAGTCAAGTACTATCAGAATGCCCTCCGGCAAGCATATGAAGAGGGGCTTACTAGGCCTCGAGTCATGGAAGGGTTGGGAAGTCTGCTGCCCGCTCCCACTAGAGTCCATCACTGGGATGGTGGTGGCGATCTGCTTGAGGGCATCGAAACGTGTCGGGTCGAGAGCGCCGAGGGTGCCTATTGCTCGTATGGCCTGAGTGGGTAATCGATTCAACCAGGTTCGATCCCCAGCATCAGCATTCATACCTGTCGCCTAACAGCTGTATGTCCTGAATGCTGTGCATCAGCCCGGAGGAACTCTATCATGTATGGCAACAATGGAGGGTGTTTCTCGTACGGTACTACTACCAAACCAGTGTTCTCAACCAGCCGGGAAAGCGTCCTGAGACCCCATGTATATATTGAGTCTACTAAGTCGTGTAGGTCGATAATCCGATTACTATACACAAATGACGATATCCCTACCGGTAAGTGACTTCCCGTTTTTTGTCCCACTGTACTGCAAGGTCACCCTCGCCGCCCGATCGGATATCCTGTGAGAGAATATGCACGGACCGAGATTCGAACCCGAGACCTACCTGGACATTGTCAACGAGCAGCTGCAGTATTTCATCAATCAATCCACTAGAGAGTATAGCCTGGCCGGATATATCACTCAGTTGACCCAATGCTTCCAGGAGCAATGAGGTGTACCTGCAAGCGATCCAATCACCCGAGTTCGATCCCAACACCCGTCATTTTCCCACCTTGGCGACACCGGTTCAGGTCTGCGGAGTTTCGAAACGACAGCCTCCACCACGGCAAAGACATATGGACTCATATGACTGCCTGCCTTCGATAGAAGATCACATAATAGCTCCGCCGCTTCCTCGCCGCCTCTATCCGCCTGAACACATGGACTATTCACTCTGACGAAGGTGACTATGATCGACTTCAATACTGTGTGGGAATTGAACCTGGGTCGTCAGACTAACGTACATGGTTATATTCCAACTCAGTTAGCAGCTGTATGAGCAACTTCCGCAACGCTGGAAGGACATACGCTGGGTTGTGGTGACAGAGTCTTCCAAGAAGTTTCACTGCCGCCTTCCTTACAATCAGTGACTCATCATTTAACGCCTAAGAAGTCCCCCTTGCCGGGATCGAACCTCAGAGCGACGACCACACCTACCTGCGTTATTGCAGCTACACACACCTGGTCCGACAGGAAGGGGTCAAAACGCCGATCGATGCCATCGAACACAGAGAACCTGCCGATTCAGATTCGAGTGAGCCGGGTTCGAATCCCAGGACCGACCTAATATCAGGATCTGTGTCCGCTACAGCCAGCACTAGTAGTCGCTGTACAACTCTGGAGATCGCCTCTATGTGATGAGGTTTACAGAGAACGATTTGCCTATTCCGATTCGGCTGGACATCAACAGATTCAGAAGACTCGTCTGTTGTCAGAGTCTAAAATCATTTCCCATCCGCATCGCTCCGCTAGAATAATATGAAACTACTCACCTCCTCCGAAAAGGACGACTTTCTTTCACCCTTTTCATCAGATGGGAGATCCACAGGAAGCAACAACTTTGTTATCGTCTCCGCCGCCATCTTACGTACAAGAGGATGCTGGTGATCCAAACACCTACCGAAATCTCGTTTAAAAAACTTGCTTCGCTCCGCTATGATACTCACCGCAATACTGAATCGCACAGGAAAGGTTTGACCCTGGGGTCATAAGGCCCAAAGCTGACCAGAGCTCTCATGGCCAGAACAGCCGAGGCCGCCTGTGCCTCGAGTGCTGCCGAACCTAATAGGAACCATATGGACGATTCTCAGAGAGCCACCACCTCACCTGCTGACATCATCGATAGAGTACGTGGACGGGTAGCCTAAGATAAGAGTAAACACTGAGGCATTAGGATAGCTCATAACAGGGTCAGACGTATCGATATTAGTAGTAGTAATACGAGAATAGTGTTATCATGGATTTACCCTACCGTTGGTTCGGGAGCTGGGACCCCACAGGTCTTGCATACAGTAGCGCCTTCAAGGATCGATGTGACCGTATCCAGGAGTCGGTTTTGGAGCTGTGCACACTGAAAAAGAGTATTAAATTCTACATTACTATCAGACAAGACCAGCCATGACTAATGTGGCCTATAAAGCCCGAAACCATAGACCCTCTACGTCCACGGTGGATGCTATCGCTGAGTAATACCCAACCCTATGGCCTACCACTTGTGGACAGTAATAACAACAATCCCAAACTGCTTCCAATACAGCCGGAGTAAGACCCGCCGAGAACATGAGATACACCAGTCTGCCGTCCTCAAAGTATGTCGACAACCCCGAACAGATCGTCTCCGCCAATTTACCAAGGCATCTGTAAATACGACCTCTCATAGCCCGGGCACCCGATTCCTCCACTAAAAGCCGTACCACACCACGCCGAACTTACTCTAGAGTATTCTGATGCAGCCGATAGCGTCCGTCTGTCCGACCAGAGGGTGAGGTGTCTACAGGTACCATAGGCAGCCTCTTTACAGGGACCATTACTACCTCCACTAGCTTTACGCTCAACTGCTAGTCTCACGTCGTCATCTGACAGTATCGATTCGATACAGCTGACGACACCCTTTACGTAAGGGGTTATGTACTCCTCTCCCTCGGCTACACACACTTGAGCGAGCTGAAAACAAACAGATCAGATAACGTGTTATACTAACATCCAAGAGGCCGCCGGTTCGATCCCCACAACCCTCACCGCTTCAATAGCCACCGGACGTCCTTCAGAACCACAGTAGTCCTCCAAGCCGGCCGCTTCCGTTATAAGATGCCCAATCGCTTCGTCAGCACAAGTGGCAAAATCATCAGGACTCGCTTGAGCGAAAGTGGCCAAGAGCTTATCCACCACCTGGACAACACTCCTCCACTTTGACCGACGATACCTCAACGTTAATCTCAACCAATACAATAAATCAGATCGCACCGTTGGACCTGATCTTGAGTCTTCACCGCGCCATGAAATTGCCCACTACTATCACCTCCAACATCCACCATTGCCCCCAAAACAGCGAGGCTTCCCTGTATGGCCGCCTCAGTCTTCGAAGGTCGAGGCATAGTGAGAGCCATCGCCTTCACAGCAGGGTTAGTAGGGCCTCCATCACGTATGGAGTCATCAAGGGTTCTTCCCACAATAGCCATGGTCCAGATGCACCACTCGCTCGGCTCCACCTTAGGCTCGTTATATAGAGGAGGAGTTATAGGCAACGATGCTTGCAATGCCAGCACTGCAGCCCGACGAGTCGACTAAAAACGGAGAGTGATGGGATTGAACCCTGGACCTACTGCTTACCATGCGATGCCCTTCTCCCATTATCACTGTCCATACCCTCTGCAAAAACACTGGTTTGTATAGAGCGAAATGCTCCGGCGAGCTCGCGGCGATATCCTTCAAGCTCAAGCAAGCCTGGTATCTTTTGCCTTCCAATTGGGAGCTCGGTGGCCTGACAGACCCAGGAGGCATCACAAAGTAGGAAAGGAGTGGTACTCAATAGAAAGGCACGTCCCCTTCACACATCGAGGAGATATGACAACTGGAGAGGAATTCATTAATTTCAGATCCTAGGAGCGCGAACCTCAGATACCCTCCTAGTACATAGCATCGAAACATGGTTTGATATCTTTAACATCCGCATCCAGCTGAACACCACCCAGCAAGTCAGATGACGACTGATCGATCACTTGAGTGCTATCACCTCTCACTGGCGCCAGGGCATCCAAGCCTCGAATCTACGAAGGATGCTTCAATGGATTCCGAAATCAGAAAGTAGACTAAATCCCCATTCTGTGGTGCGCTAACAAGAGCTACCATAAGTTGGCTACTACAACTCCCCTGCACTTCACCCTAACCCGCCTACTACTACTACTACTACTACTACTACTCCTACTACTACTACTACTCCTACTACTACTACTACTACTACTACTACTACTACTACTACTACTACTACTACTACTACTACTACTACTACTGCTACTCCTACTACTCCTACTACTACTACTACTACTACTACTACTACTACTACTACTACTACTACTACTACTACTACTACTCCTACTACTACTACTACTACTACTACTACTACTACTACTACTACTACTGCTACTCCTACTACTACTCCTACTACTACTCCTACTCCTACTACTACTACTACTACTACTACTACTACTACTACTACTACTACTACTACTACTACTGCTACTACTACTCCTACTACTCCTACTACTACTACTACTACTACTACTACTACTACTACTACTACTACTACTACTACTGCTACTACTACTCCTACTACTCCTACTACTACTACTACTACTACTACTACTACTACTACTACTACGATACAAGGAGCTAATGGGAAAGGGCTGCTTGCAGAGGAGCTAAAATTTGGCTGACAGCATTATTACAATTTCAAGATCGCTGAATCCTAAAGAAGATGTTCCCGGAGCTGTCGTATCTCCTATACTGATCCGTGATATATGCCGACTCAATGTTGGAGGCCTCAAACCGAATCCCTGAAAATATAATAAAACATTGACAGATGGGATATATCCCGCCATAGTACAAGCCGTTGGACCGATGACATGCCAGTGAGCCTCCTTTTACGTCCCTCCACCACAGCAACTCTCGCCTTGCTTATCAGCCCGCTCCGCTTCAATCGGTCGTTTGCTTCCACCTCCTCCATCACAGTGAAAAAATTTAATAATCGACTTCCAACTCTACTATTAACAACTCTGTCCAACTCTACTCTACGTATTGGTATAGTAACAGTATTGATACTAGGATTAGTTCACTTGCTTCCACCCTAACATTAATTTGTATACACTTCGGTCGTGCCATGGTAAGCGGTTCCTAAAGAATTATTATAGATAGAATAGGATAGAGTATGTTAATACCAATTATATATATTATTACTACAGAAGTATCCATTCAGGGGAGGCCGTATCCCTACAGTATCCTCAACACGGTAAACAGCATGCCTGCCTGTACTGTATGCGAACAGCCCGGGTTCCATCCCATCATCAGCATATTTACTTGCTGCAAGTAAATATGCTGATGCATGCAGACATGCAAATAACTTGCATGACTGCGGATTATCAGCGCCACTAGCCGCCCATGCGGGAGGCACTCGTCTGTGCGAGCTAGTTATCTCCCTCGAAACCCTACCATGCAAGATATCATCTCAACCATCCATCATCTCCACTCACCTCCTCGAAAGCCATCTGGATCATAACAGTCAAGAGTTGCTGTTGTAGATCCATACCCGCCGCGATGCTCGCCGTAAAGCCACAACAGCCATACGAAGCTGCTGCTGCTGCAGCCGCTGTGAGAATAAACACTTCCACCCTGCGCGGTGTAAATCTATTATACTATCGCGCTGTATTTCACGAATGTATGCCGTACGGGACCGGGCCACCAAAAGTGCTCTGTGGCTCGCCACCTCGCCCGACAGCTAAGTTGGTAGATCACCGTGTTACGGATCGAAAGGTCCGTGGATCGATCCCTGGAAAGCGAACCGGCTCTTTTCTTGAACGATGGGGGAGTTAAGGTTGGTCCCGATTTTTCTGAATTTTGCTCAAGGCCTACTTAATATCTCTTCGATCCGTGTTATAGGTAACCGTAACTGCTTCATAAACTTGAGGCGTCTTAAAGTATCTACTCACGATTACCTCACGGGATTCAATTTTGATTTGTGTGGTGTGCATCTTGTTAAAAGAACAACGCTCGGTGGATAGAGCCAGTGATTGAGTGTGGGACAGCCTGGGTCGGATTGAAGAGGACAGTTCCATAGCTGAATTAGGATGGAGTTGAATCCCCTCATCACTCGGCTGATAAGCCCATCACCACCTCTACCGGATGAGAGGATTCAACATCCTTTTGGCCTACTCAACGACCGTCCACGTCCAAACACGACCATGGCCCGTTTGAGGCATGAAGAGCTGCAAAGGGTGATGTTATCTGCATACATTCGATTATCTGTATCCTTTTTAGAGGGACGCCCTGAGGTCCTACTACCCACAAAGACCCTATATAGGCTCCTCCTCCGCTCCCTGTGACATCTCACCCCTCTCTACTAACGCTGTTTCCCGTAACGATGAAGGTATCCTTCGAAAACATTTCATGTTGGGAGGTCGAATGTCCTTCAGATGAGAACCCCGAGCAAGACCTTGTAGCTGACCTCTCGCCTAATGGGCCCCCTTCTACCAGACGGAGAACTCCTCGCGCTAGATCGTCTGTAGCCAATTACTATACCGACTGTGTTCGCAGAGTCCATGATCAGATAGCGCTAAGTCTGGACTTCACAGCAGCGGTTATGTCAGTTCCTGCTGTGCGTAATGATGATGATGATGGCGATGAATGGATGGGGACAGATACCAACACCGAGGATGCTCTCGATGATTCCAACTCTTCCCATTCGGAAATCGGTGTGTTTCGTCTCGGGTTATCCCCTAACTCATCTCTTCAGGCCTAGCTATCGATATACAGGACATTTCACGTGTTCTGGAGAGCGGTTCTAATGTCGATGAGTCATCAAATGATGATGACGGTGTTTACCGTTTCACCATGGATACTTGAGTTCTCTCTGCCACTTCGTTATGTTCAGTCAATCGCTATGGACGATCCGTGAATATGGGGTGCGATAAGTTGCTGATAACACTTGCTCTTCCTCGTTGTTTGTCGATCATTCGGAAATTGAGAGCTCTGTCGCTACACGTACACTTCCCATGAGTTGAATCCAATCCAACTCAACTCGTCCAATAGAGGAACATGGCAAGAGAGGAACAGTAGATAACTCTGCATTGCTGTTATGTGATCACGATAAGAGCAATGGTCCCAACATCCCTACGATGTCCGAGCGGAGGATGCTTCTAATCCGCGGTGTGGGAGGGACGACTAACCCACCTTGTTGTCGAGAGCGAACTTTCATAAATCCGTGTGAATCTCATTTGAGCTGGATCATTCGGCGCTTAATGTCCCGAAACATCTTCCACGAGACTCTCTTGTGGACTATTGATTTTCTTGGAGATCGGCACATTGTCATCCGATATACTTTCCCACCGAAAAGATGAAGGTTTTCTGGTGACGTCCACGATCAGTTACTCTGCAACCTAATTGACTTGAACGATAGAAAGACAAGCGGAAGCTACGCCCCACTATGAACAAGAATATGAAAATCTGATCCGTCACTCGACACTGTTATTGAGCCGCATAAACAACACGGACAACACGGTTTAGTTAGACTCGCATCGATGGGGCATTAGCTCCGGAGGGTTCAGTTTAGGTCTTCTAAATTGTTCACAGAGTGAGATACCCTCTGCCAAGGTACTTCCTTTCCTCCGCGCTTCAGGATCCACTTCCGACGCTTCAGCGCATCGCTACCAAGATGTCATGGAGTACCGAGTCGTACAGTATTTCTCATGAAAACCATGTCAATGCTGATAGAGTTTCTCTATGTAGCCGACTTAACGTTTGACGACATCTCAGTACACAATTCGAATATCACAAACCGCGTTGCAAAGAGCTCAATGAGAGCTTGCGAATGATACATATTTGTGTTCATCAACTTCACGCGCCGCGGAATTACATGGCGTGGACCTCGTTTTGTACCACCCTGTATAACACGTTTTCTGAGACTGAGCAGGCGACTACGCCACAAAGACGGCGAAAGAGTTCCCCTGTTCTTCGACGTCAATCCCTTACCTAACCCAACGCCATCCATGGTCTGCAGAAGCAATAGGAGCCGCTAACGTCACTAGTAGCGACTCGCTACATAATAGCATGAAAGGCCTGTAGCTCACGACTTGGTGATATGGGGAAAGAATGATCGATAAAGGACTCCCTCGTTGATGTCTTATCCAATAAGTATCAATGATACTTATTGGGTTTCGGGTTTGGTATGATACTGTATCATACCACACTCTCAGCGTCACACTGAGTGTGACACTGAAATGTGCGCACCCGAGGGATCGAAGACTAGAGACATTCACAGCTCAATGGAGGGTTGACCAGATCAAGCAAGCGGGAATGAGCAAGAGATAAGACAAGACACGGTAGAGGACCAGTGAGGGGACGGCCAAGGAAGGGGTAGCGGCAGTAGCTGTCCATTCGAACGTTGACAATAATGTCTTTTGCCCGACCTGATCCTTGCGATGACCTCAACAGATCAGTAACGCCAGAGCCCACTTCGTTGTAGTTATTATCGCTGATAACATAAACGAATATACGTCCTGTACGCGGATCATCTCTGACGGCTAAGCCCTCCATATTATCAATATTATACCTGTCACAAAACTCATCATCGCCGAGAACATCCACACCTCATTATCAGCGATCGATTGAAAAACAGAGTAAATAACAGTGTGAGGCTGCAAAGCCGATTTTATGCAACTATTCCGACTGTTATTATAATAAAAGTCTTAGAATATCAACTCTCGTTCGATACTCATTCGAGCCTTCCCTCTCGGTGGTATTCTCAGAGAATTCTTACCCATCTCTTGAAAAGATCTCCGCAATAATGAATGGCTTCATAGTCTCCCCTTTAGCGAGGGCTTCTTGTAGCTCTGCCTTCGTGATATACCCTATCCTCATCCCGTTACCCTCATTCGGGACGAATCTAAGGTAGCTGACCGGATACAACCAAGGAAGGGCTCACCTTCTGAAGAGGATCATAAGGTCGCCATTGTTGAGCTCTCCAAAGTCCGTCGGGAAGAAAGATTGATTGGACTGTGAAGGGATGGGAATCCATATGTGGGCACACGGCCAGTGAGATGTTATACTAATGGCGTAAAGGTCGCGGAATACGTCATTGAGCTAACTTTTCGTCCGAAAATTTCCCCCAAAATCCACCAGAGATCTTACGATCACTGTTTCGGATCAACGACATCCTCTAGTTACCAGTACTACCTCAACGAAGAAGCGCTTCACCTCATTGGAGGTCTCATTGTACGCCCAGCCTGGAAGGACCATCCGACCCTGTAGATCTGTCGTGGACGAGATGGGAGGCTCCTCGCATAGCATTAGTAGTAAGCCGTCCCTGCCTGCTGACGGCTCTGGCAAGATACTTATGAGGCCAACACCCAGCTAAGGTACGTTGCTTGAGTATGGCCTCCAGTCCACCATTGCTTGGGCAGTTGGTGAGAAGGTTCGATACATTCAAATTCGTGCTCCTCGGCGAGCCGACCCCTTCCAAGAATCTAGCGAGGCACCCCATCCAAGAGCATTATCGTCGTCTACCACATACCTCAACACGCGATGATCTCCCTCATAGCTGACGTACAACTCGCCCTTACCACCACCTTCATACCTGCCATTCACGGTCAGGCCTTCCGCGTCACCTGACAATTACAACAACACCGCGTTTAGGGTATTGAGACGATTTGGTCCAGTGTCGGCTATACTCCAACGAGAGTACGCGCCCTATGATGATGATGGTTCATAGTATACTACTATTAGGTATCGAAAGTACTTTGACAGCAGCACTTGTCTGTTGTTCACCAGGAGATATCTCATGCACTCCTCTGCTCCCCTAGTATGAGCGACGTACTGCTCCTAACCATCGCTACTCACCCTCAATAGACCCGAATGGTATGGTCTGCCCTTGTGGGTCATGCATAGGGAACAACAAGGCCTCCTTAACATCATACTCTACAGCATCGCGAGTCGACGAAAGGTTCATCCCCACGAATAGCCTGATGACAAGCACCTTTCCAGTTGCCATCAAAGAGGAGTACCCTCGGTCGGATACAGTGAGGACTTCCGATCCATCCGGTGTGACGATGATGGAACTGAGGCCACCAAACTGCGACCCTGTCATGTTTGTTTGCTGAAGTCTTAGCGTCTGAATATGCCTCAGAGTGCCTAAGCAAGAGGCGGCTCGAATTCAATCGGAGGCTCCTGTTCAAGCTGACCTAGGGAGCTAGTGATAGTATCCACACTGCTACCATTACGCAATGGTAACTTCCACTGTTCAAGCGATACAGTAGTACTCTGCTGGCAAGCAGCCACACATAGGAAAGATACGAAATAGGCCAGGGACATGGGGCGAACTGACGAGAGGCACTTCATTCCAAAACAAGGGCTTTAGAAGTACAAACATTTTGTATTGCCAAACTTGCAGGGCGATAGGGTTCCCATAGACATGCTCGATCCCAGTTGAATATCAGAATATGCACATACGTACAATATAACAACAAGAGCTCGACGAGCGGTTAAACCACTTGCAACGATTAGAGATTAAACACTCGCAAGGGTCGTTTCAACTCTCTACGACGACAAACACTCACATGCCCTTGAAAAACGTAACAGTTTAATACTGTGTAATAGGTGTCTCAGGTGATAGGCACTCCGTACATAAACTTCATTGCCACTGAAGAGTAAGGGACACTGAGCATCGCTAGTGGTTAATGGAGTGGTTGAATTGTTCAGATCGGGTATCCAACTGCCTTGAGATGAATACCGAACCCCATATCCTCTGCAGTCGTAACTCTACTATCAACGCAACAAGGTCGCTCTCGTTCCCACAAGCTAACCCGTCTAGTGTCGACTTAGGCAGTTAGTTAGAAGAAACTGGTTAATCGAAGAGATCGAAGCCCATGTCCTCTTCCTCTTCTTCCTCCTCCTCTTCAACAGGGGCAGCTGCCTCCTCCTTGGCACCAGCAGCAGCAGAAGCGCCTGAAATACACAACATAAGAATAATAATGAAGTAGTTTAGCCACGACAGAGTGAGGTATAACTCAGTATTAGCATGGAGTATTGGTCAGCAGCACAGAGTGCTAAGCAGAAGTGAAGTATTTTATCATCATTGATATTATCACCAAATATACGTCAGAATTAGCATGGTAATAGGTCCGCAGCCGTATTGCTAGGACGGGGGCATTTCTTTTTCCATCATTCGTACTGGTGATATCGAACAAAAAGGATAACACCACAACGACTACTACTACTACCAGTAGCAGCAGCAGGAGCGGCACCAGCGCAAGAAGAGAGCTTCTCCTTGCCATCCTTGATGAGGGCAGCGATGTCCTTGCCCTCAAGCTGGCTCACGAGAGACTTGATTTGCTCCTCGTCAACGGGGGCGCTAACAGACTCGAGAATCTTCTTAACCTGATCACGACACAATACTGATTCATCACAATACGACCCCACGGAAGTGGATCAGAAGTTGACCTAATTCGTATCTTACAGGCTACAACCTCAAGATTCACTGGATGAGGATGCCCCTGTATTACATCAGCCTCACTGGGAGACTCCTGACCGGCCACATAGGCCATGCAGTAGGCGGCAGCAACCTTCAAAGACATTGTGGAACGAAGTGTATGGGGAACCAGGTCGGCACCACAGGGCGCGGCGAGTTGATCGATTATGACAAAGAATAGCTATGGCGCATATTCCCGGTACTTCTTCGTCAAACTAGCTCAACGCGGACGGTGTACAGAGGAAGATATTAAAATGTTGATGTCGACATTCTACAATGTTCCATCGGTCCTTAAAAACCATACTCATGATTCGTTTGCTTCGGCATTAATCGTGTTACTATAATCAACTCAAGAATACAGAGAGTGCAACTGATGTCATCACAGTTCCTCATCATGACCATGCAGTGACCTCTTCCTATACTCGTAAAACATCTCAGCTTCGAACTCATCAATCCTCTCGACTAATGGGTATCTAAGGTCGATAATGGTAAGATACACTTCTAGCCCACTTCACTTCGGAAAGTAGTGTAATGGAAGAGCTGCTTTCGGTGTTGCCTCGAGGACCTCCATTTCAAGTTCATGCCACTCGAGGAAGGTTTGAATTATCTCCTCCGGAGCGGCCTGGCCATCACCATCTACACACAGAACATCTCCGTACCCTATAATGGGGTTATTCCATCACCTCTGTCATGGAAGAGGGTGTAAGGGTCGACACCGTATGAGATGGCCTCTCTAGTCCAGGCAGTAGTCATTGGCCCCGGGCCCTTATTGTGCAGAAGCGGGGGCAATGTCTTCGCAAAAATGTGGGGTGTAGTGGCGTTGTAAGGAGCTCTGGGAGGTGATACATAAAATATATCAGTGTTGGAATCGAACCAAAAACCTTTCTGTCCATAAGCACGCCCCCGACCACTGCGCCGAAACATGAATGTTTGCATGGAATTATCATACAAAGAAGGATACTCTTATACTTAAACAAGAGGACTGTATGTAGAACTATCATCTTAACCAGTTCCTACCCTGCAAGGCCAACAAAAGGGAACCTCTCCATCGAGGGTGCAAGGTAGCCACCTGATGCCTGAGGATACCATCATTACCACCCTCACAACAACACCACCCCCACCGTACTAAATCGAGTAAGAGTGTCCACATATTCCTCCCATCTCCCGCTCTCCTTATAGGACCCATCCAACGCCTGTAGTACTCAAATGGTAGTGGATTATCGAGTTGTATAGTCAAAGAAGCAACACAGCCCTTGGGAGCATCAACGCTTCGACTTGTCTCATGAATTATACCTAAAGCTTTTTCTACTCAATAGTATACCCTCCTCGAACCTGGTGGTATGAAGATACCATCCCCTTCAGCAAGAGTGATTTCAACTTCAGGAGTCCAATCAAACGGTGTTGAATCATAAAGATGTGCCCGTAAAGTTGGATGAGGGAACTCAGGCATCACAGCTAGCCTCCAAACCCTTGAGCCCGACAACTGGAACTGAACATCATTTCCAATCAGCTCTCGACCCCTCCCTATGGAGCCGCCTACCGCTGCAGTAGCCTGAGGATGCGAATCAGCATGAGCTTTAGCACCAGAGTGCTCAGGAGTAAACCAGATCTCGCTGCCAGCTGAAGTACATTCATTCGACCTCCCAGCAATGGTCCTACTCTACTTTCAAACACTTCCTCATTGCCCTCCCTTGGTATAAAATGTGGTAACCTAGTAGATTCGGAAATCCACTTGCGAGCCTTCGGATGGGCGTCTAGTGTGTCTCGAACAGCCCAGTAACTGTAGCGACGATCAAAGCAGTGGAGTTCGATCACTACTCTACCGTGGAGAGGTATGGCCATCATCCAACGTTGTGTTTGGCCTATCCCAGCAGTCGTCACTATAAATCGGTACAGACCTACCCCAAGCTTGCCTACGAGTATTTGAAAAGCTCCCTCACATGCCGTCCTCAGAGCCGTACAGTTTCTCTAAGTATATACCCTCGAGGTCCTCATTACGACAGAAGTCCTCACAAGTGCTGCCTGTTATTGGCCAGTCCTTGGCCACCCCTCGTACCACCATCACTACGCCTATCCAAATGGTACACTTCACTACACCCACCCATAGTAGACCTCTATTCATATGCTTAATGAACTCCTCCTTTGACAACACCAAGCTATCCGCTTCATATTCTACTACATCACCTAACAGCAAGTATTCATCCGTACTCATCAGAAAGATGAGTAGTTGACTGAATCGAATGATCCCTAGCTAGGGATGTGCGAGTAGCCCCCACTATCATCTTGCCCATGATCGTACCCAATCCCTCGGGATGGAAGTATAGATGTTTGAGCATATCCAGTTCTCGTTGAGCTGTCGTTATGATCCAAAGGAGAGTTACATGCACCCTCATTCCGATAGGGCGTAGCTAAGGGGAAGCTCGTCCACCGCAGAACAATAAGTAAAGGTCCTTCTCGAAGAATAATCCCTCTATGCCGGCATCGAACCGAGAACCTTACGATTCAAAGACTAACGCGATACCCTGTTGGACTATTGAAGCAATTATTATGAGCCATTTAAGGCGGCTCTACGGCTGGATTAAGATGGCCCTTAGTCGTGTAGTTGCTCACTCCAACCTAGAGTGCGTAGACAAGACGACCGCCAGTTCTGAGGAGGGGATTTACGCTAAGCGGAGGTAACACGAAAAGGTACCTCAACTTTTTACACCACAGGTAAAGGTAGTCGGCGCAAAATACGGTGTGGAAAAGATCCGCCATAAACAAGCATAAGAAGTGCTCACCCTGAAGAGAAAAATACCCTGCGTGGGGTTCGAACTCGGGACCTTCCCTACCTGCATGTAAAGCACTCCCCAAAAAACCATTCGCACCGCTCGTGATATGACTAACAATCCCACATAATGTGAGGTGATGGGCTCGATCTGACATAACACATACCAACTCAGTTGCGTATACAACCCCTCTCTCAGTGAGGAAGAGCACCGACGTACTCGCACCATTACCCCTCTATAACAACAAAGTCTTCCCCCCTACTACATCCATCATCTTTCGCATTAGCCACAGTTGTGGTATGAGGCCTGTTGCTTCGATGTACATGGTGAATGATACCAACACCTGATTAGAGGTAAGCGTCCAGCCATGGTGGTTGTGCTTGTTACCTGACCGGACCACCACTCATAACCTGGATGGAAGAGGAACGCTAGTAGAAGGGCTACAACTGCTAATACCGGCGCCCGGAGGTATCGGGGGGCATGCATTGTAGTAGTGTGCCAGTATCTAACGATGTAGCACTGGTGTGGTATGGCCATATAGGAGAGAAAGATGTAGGAACCTCACATTCCCTTAAAGTTGATGGTTACAACTACTCGCCCATTATGTTCAATATTGGCATCTCTCGAGGAGCAGTATTACATATAGCAATAGTAGCACAGGGCTATCTGTACGGCCAAGTTGAGCCATAACTCTAGATAGGAGAACCATGTCTCCACTAAACGAGTGTCCATCATCCACACAAACCTCGACAATGTTCCTAAGAGAGAAGGATTCATCATCATTCTACTACTACCGCTCCGTGATAGAATAGTACCCATAAGGAAACAGACCTGAGTATCGATAGACAAGCCATAGATGTTCTTTGTAGTGGATATCCTGTATAGTAGGAGGAACCCAGCTAGCAACTGTATACCATAGCCCAACTCGAATAAAAAGACGTCTTCCATAAGACAAAGGGAACACTACGCATAAGAATTAAAGAGCGGTAGTCGTAACACGAATAGGCTCGATGTGCCTCACTCTGTCGGAAGAGGAGAGGACCGCCAGTTGGGTATGCTGATCCATTCGGGAGTGTGGGTCTCCAGTTCAAGCCCGTTCACCACCATGTTTTTTCCATGCGAATGCACTAAAGTATCCAGCCTAATCCAGATAAGGTTTCAAAAAGGCAATCAAAAGCTCACAGCATCAAGATGCCGAGAAAGAGCTGCAAAATTCCAACCCACGAACGCACTACAACTAAATCCAACTAAGACGATGAAACGATGGAACCTCGAATGATATGATGATGATGACGATGATAAGTCTCCAGAGAATTCAGTAAAATATACATTTTCGTTATATTACCAGATCGATTACGTGATACCCTTTGATATACACTGGCAAGATCAGTATCACAGACATACCCGACATAGTGGCACAGTAATAATGCCGACTACGAGAGTTAAACCAAGGCCCAGTTTGGCAAAGTCCCCAAAGGCATAGCCGGCAACAGCATAGACCATAAGGTTAGTCTGATAGGATATAGGGCTCAAGAACTGGCATCCAGCTCCAACCATAAGAGGACCTAAACACTGGTGTACAGGGAGACCCATTTGGTGAGCTACTGACACACATACTGGGAAGAGTAGGACTACTACAGCTGTAGCATGGAAGACAACACCAAGCAAACAAGTAGCCACAAAGATAGCTCCAAGGACCCCTAAAGCTCCCAAAGGGGACATCAACCCTACCAGGGCTTGGGCCAATATCGTAGCAACGTGGGTCTTAGCCATAGCCTTACCTACACCAAACGCACCAACAATGGTCATCACTGTTCTAATATTAACAGCACCAACTGCCTTAGTCAGTGACAAACAGTCGAATAGTACCAGCAATAACGAGGCGGTCATACTAGCTTGCAGCAATGGGAGGGTATTAGTAGCCACTAGGAGGACCATGCCCAGTACTATCACCCCTGATATCCACATGAGCCTCCTTCCATCTGCTGTTACCTCTCCCTCTTTAGTCTCACCAGAAGACGACAAACGTGTGATGACAGCAAAATGCCCCGTCCCCGAGAACTGTTCAGCAAAGCCAGAGGGAGCCTCGACAATGAGCCCATCGCCAACTGCCAACCGCCAGCTCCTCTCGTCCATCTCTGACTGTAGTAGCCTCACCACTGACTCTTCTTCTGGTTCCATCTCGGACCCAGGTAAGGGCGTATAGGTCACGGCACGTCCAGGGATGGACGCTCCTATACTAAGGTAGGGCACGTTGGGGGCAAGTTCAGATTCGGAAAAGGTCCGCGCGCTAGGCCGGGACCGAATGTGGGACACTGATCGGGCCCTCGGGGTTAAGTTCTTCATGCGTCTCTTTGAAACAACAACCTGTCGGTTGTTATCCTTTTGAAGAAGCTGAAGGTCATGCGGGCGAATAGCGACTATTTGCCCACCGTAAAGTTTACGTGTCTTAGCATTCACAATAGGTTGCCCAATGAGAGGGCAAAGACCGTCCAAGACTACTTCAAATAGCTCTGTGTTCTGAGCCTTCCCACCGAAGTTACCACCAGTCGAGAGCTCCCCAGAGTCCCTCGTGAGCAGCCCCACCCGGCCATCATGTTGGAGCTTCAACACTGTATCTGCCGAGCAGTAGATGTGCAACACATCGTAGGGCTGCAGGACAAAGTCAGGACTAGCCCGACCCTTCTCCCCTAGACGCTCTATCTCTACTATGCCTTCATTGCAGTCAAGGAGATCATACAAGCCCGAGTCCGCAAGGGTCTTGCCATCCAAAGACAAACCCGTGACTTGGGCTGACACCACAAACTTCTTGGAACTCAGCAACGACTCTTGCTTAGGCAGAAGACGGCGATCCGATCCAGCAAGACCATTGGCTAGAGCAGCCCTCGCCTTAGGCATCCTATCCTTAAAGACCAGAGGCACGGCTATGACGATGTAGAGGAAGGCCCCTATAGTCGCAGGGAGGATCAGTGGGGCCAATGCAAAATTATCGAATCTTTCATAGTTGGCATCAACCAGCAAACCTTGGGTGATGAGATTACTAGAAGTCGAGAAGATGGCGAACACGCCCGAGATGAGCAGAATATACGACATCGGCATGAGCAGCAATCCTTGGTCCAAGCCAATGTCTTTAGACCACTTCTGTACAACAGGAAGGAGTACTCCCATAACTGCTGTATTTGATACACAAACATTGAGTAGTACTGCGGGTACGAATAGTCGCAGCATGGCAATTGGTAGAGACTTGGGATGGCCCAACAAGCCACCGTCTATGAAGATGTACTGGACCACACCAGTGTTCTTCACAGCGGCCGACACGATAAGTAGGACCCCAACAGACAGGACTACATCATTAGAAAAGCCGTCCCAAGCCTCTTTGTTGTCCAATACTCCCGCCAATGTGAGGACCAAGGTAGACCCCATCATGACCCCATCAGCTGGATACTGCATAATAAGAAGAGCTAAGGCCGAGCAAGTGACTGCTACTGAGATGAAGGAGTTACCGTCCAAGAGAGGGGAGCCGACTTTGAGCACCCAACAGACAATACAACCAACGTAGACCATAGCAAAGAATACAATAGCTTTGAAGTACCGCAGGAGGAACTTTACTCTATTCTCCTTTTCATGAGGCTTCTCCTCTTCTTCCTCTGCAGTAAATCGTTCAACGAAGTCACCAACTTTAACACCACTGGCTGACCGAACATGAGATGATGCAAGCCTGTTGATGTCAAGGGGTATCCCTATGGCCTTGTCTTGAGAGGTAGAGTAATCCAATATAGCAGCCAAACGGTCGGCGGCCTGGCTAAATGTACAGTGTTGGATTTCTCGTAATATATCCTTCATGAGGCTAGCATCCCCACGGCCCTCCTCGATCGTTCCAAGCAGTCCTGGTCGTACCACCAACTTATCATATTTTTTAGCAATTTTTCGAAGGCCTTCCGCATTCAACTTAGCAAAGTTCTCAAGATCGCGAACCCTCTCAACAAATGCCGAATAGTCATCCTTGTTGTTGGGGTCTACGGACTTAGCCTCTCTAGCGGCCTCCTGCTCCTGAATGGTGTAGAACTCCTCGACACGCACCATATCCAACTTGAGCTCTTCCAGGAATCTTTCATTACCACTGTTGTTATTAACTATATCCTTCAATATAGCCTTCAGTCTATGATAATTCATATAGTACGGTCGCCAGGCTATGACTCGGTGATCGTGGAGATACTGACCGAACTTCATTAGGAGAAGGAGGAGGGAGAACGACAAACTTACAAAAATTAGTGATCGACTACCCCATTTCATCGTATAAATATTTTTCCAGTTACTCCATTAAACAATAGAATATGTAGATATACTGTATGGATAGTGATCTGGTGCTGCTGCCTCCCGAGTTGGCAAGCCGTTGACCTACTCTGTATCTTCCGTGTCCAGCCTCAAGATATTCCTTTCAACCTCGTCATTTGCAGATGCTCAACTGCCCAGCGAGGCTTCTGGGCTAAACTGGAACACGAGTTAACCTTGAGTCTCTGCGACTAAACTCGCGCGAATCGATTACATGGGCGCGCGCAGCTGACGTTACACGATGGGTTGTATTCCACAAAGTGATGGTAACGGTCGTAATATTGTGCAAGGGGGTAATGAGCTTTATTGAGAGTGGTGAAGAGGGATGTGTTAGAGGGTAGACGGGATGGAATGAGGTGGATCCGGGAGATGTTAGGTTGGATGCTCGAGGGTGGATGTCATCAACTTCAGCGCAATATTGCAGATGTGCGGCTAAATGGGGTATCTTGAGGTTGAGTTGGTAAGATACGAAACATGTCAGGATGGGGAACAGTCTAAATATGTGAAGTTTGGGAAAGCTGGAGGGCGTTCTATCACGATTGAAGGAGACTGTTCGGACAAAGCTTATGTCGCTAAAACCTTCTGAACACAAGTTTTGCCATCAGCCTGTTTTATCAACGTGTTGCGACATGCCTCCACTCCAACCATCGTCTACTAGCCTCGACCACAGCCAGCCTTCATCATCAGTCATGGGTCTTGTGGAAGATACTTATGACACCTTTCATGACATCCTGCAAGAGTCTAAGATATTCCGAACCCTTGTCCTTGGCCGTCAAGAGCATCATCATGATCGATATCGTCAACACCAGCAACCCTACCTCTTCCTACCACTACACTATGATACTCCCCAAAGCCCATCCCTACTGCATCACTCTTTGCTACCCATCGACACGTTCGATCAGCGACCAAGCAAGTATCCGCGTTTAGCAGGATCGTATTGTGCTCAGCTCGAGAACTATGACAACCTCCCAGCTGAATACCTCCCCTTGGTGGAAGATTCGCCTGAGGTGTTAATGCCGGATAGCCCCCAACTATGTTGCCTCAACGATGATCTATCGGACGTGTCAGAGTTGCTATTGCCTCCGGTTTGCCAAGATACTCCTCGCACACAGCGAAGAAGTGGCCTCCGGAAGGTGGTGGACCGGAGACGGCTGGTAGATAGGAGGAAAAGGATGATAAGAAGCTTTGGGTTGGCGGAGGTCAGTAGAGGACCTGAGGAGTATCTTTCTGGTATCAAGCGACCAGCGCACAGTGAAGATTCTTATTAGATGCTGTCCGGTTTGATTCCTTGATCACTGCCTCTCGGCCAACACAATGCAGAGGCGTTCGCTTCCTGACTGCTTCTGTATTAAAGATATGATATCTCCGGCGCGCACGCGGAAGATTTACCACTTTCCGGTTTGTAGTAGTGACAGGTTTGTGCCGCACTGTACGTCAACAACGTTTCCAAACTGAACTCTGGTTTTTGGTTTAACATCGATTCGATTGGCTTTGCATGTTAATCGCCTATGGGTAACACCTTCCCTCAGCAACCATCATCTGGTCCGTCCCAAGAAAGTATCTTCAGAAGTTTTGCTCGAGAGTACTCATCACCGGAATGTTCATGGCGATGTGACCTCACTGACAACCTCCCTATTGCCGGTCATTCAGCCCCTCAAGTGAGGGATCTCACAGCTGTCGTCTCCTCAACTATCCGAGTCCCTGCTAGCTGCCCTGCTGGCATCACCATAGAGGCCGAGGCGGTGGTCACTCAAATTGCGAAGTCTCTGTGTCGATCGCTAGCCAGCACAGCTGGTAACCACGTCTTGGGTGTTGGGGATACCTCTCGAACTACTGGGTCGACTAGGGTCTGCACTCAATGCTACTCCTCATCATCTCGGTCGTGGTGTGGGCTCCTCTTAGTAGCTGCCCTCACAGCCTCGGCTGCCGGCTTGGGAGCAGCAGTGGCCTTATATTGGATAGGCGCTAGTAAAGAGGAGGTTATGGCTAGCTTCAAAAGGGTATTAAGGAAATCTTCGCTGTGTGCTGAGGCGGAAGATAGCCCTGTGTCTGTGGTGGAAGATGGCAGTCTGAATGCAACTGGCAGCACGGATGGTTGGGATGATGTGGGTTGAGCGAGAAGTAGCCGGAATAGTGAAGGTAGTCCATTATTGAGTGTAATACTTGCTCCGAAGAGCTCTTGCATACCAATTTTTATCCTCAAGTTGTTCCTGTGTTCATGCGGTTATCGTAGAAGTCATTATCAGTTCATCCTCCTTCTTCTCCTCATTTCAATGTGGAGTAATCATCTCCCTCCCTGGGTGGCACCACTCATTGACAGAGCCACCACCAACATCATCACAGAGATCGAGCGTGTCGGGCAGAAAGTTGCTGCGACCATCGTCCCAAAGGTGCTGGAAAGCAGCACCTCTATTGGCCAAAAGTTGGACGATAAGACAGCTGCTGTGGTGCGCGCCAACTTTGATGCAAGTGAACAAGTTGTGAAACAACTGAGTGCCCAGATGGCCCGAGCCAATGGTGACATCGCTGATAAGGTGGTCCAATCTCTCCTCGAACGACCTGAGATCATCGCTGCTCTGCATGATGGGCCGGCGGCGGTTACTACTACATCTGATGGAGTTACGGAGGCTAGGTTGAAGGAGATCATTCAAGCTGTGGCCGATGAAGAGAGGCAGCAGTTGAAGCTTCTGGCGAAGGACGTTGAGGTCATGCTCGACGACTTGAAGGGCCAACCACTAAGCGAGAGTATGTTGGCATGCAAGCTGGCCGACATCGACGATAACATTCAAACGGTGGTTAAGGAGGTCTCAGCGGAGATCGGCGAGCAAGGAAGTATCACCTTTGCTCAACTCGAGAGGCTCAATGACAATCTTGAATCGCTCAATGCGATGCTACAGAACATCACTGCCGTGGAGGCCCGTCATGAGGAGGATTTACAACGGTTGGACATTTCCGTCCAAGAAATCAAGGCTGAGCAGACTGAGCTCTTGGGAGAGGTGAAGGGTGATGGTGATGGATTTGGTGACAAGAACGGACAAGACAGGTTATTCGACCTCCAGCGGAGCATTAACGTCTTGAAGACGTACATCTACATCCTCAGCTCAGCGGCTGTGGTTGGGGTGCTGCTACTCTGCCATAATACTAATTTGATTCACCAGCTCATGGAGTGTTCCCAAGATGTCGATGCCTCCCTCCAATACGTTGCCTCCAGCCTTGGGCGACAGGCTGTTGCTCTCGCCCATCAAGCTGAGGCTGTTGAAGCTCTCGATCAGACCGTTAGGGATCCTCCCAATGATGATGGTGGTGGAGCTGCTGCTGCTGCTGCTGCTGACCAGAAGGTGACCAAGAAGTGGTTCGATGACAATTGGAGCTACTGGACGATGTCAGGCGTTCTACTAGCCTGGACCGTCTGGTTGGCTGATGAATATCTTTGTGGTGGAAAGTGGACTTGGGTGAAGAATACTCCACCACCGCCACCATCAACGACTACTTCTGCTGTTCTCGAGAATATCATCTCAAGTGCTGCCAGTGATGGTGGTGGTGAGAGTTCTGTGGTGGATGCTGTTGGGGACGCGGCTGTTAGTATTGCTGATACAGAGCTCTCTCCAGACTGGAGCATACAGTGATGTATCAACAACAACCTGCATTATTATTATCATCTGCATTATAGGCACACTGCAGTTGTCTTAAGGATGGCAGCAGTGTTGACCATTGATTAAGTTCTCATGTATTGACAGACTTCCTCAACCGGACATCCGGCAGTTGTGAGGAACTAATGATGATTATGATGGTAGAAACGACTATGTTATTCTCATTAATTTTGACATATAATAACACTCATTCTCTTGCGTCTATCAGTTTAAACCTTGGAAGGCCATCATTGAGGATGGATTCGCTTGTTAACTCACTCATCGTACCCACTAGTTCACTGAATGTTCAACACAATTCGCATTAGGTGGAAGAGACAGTGGAAGTACGTAGGAGAACATATGAAGCTGTAAAGGGTACAACTTATACAGCAGCACCAGCACCGGCTGCTTCCTCATCCAATAGTGGACTGCGGGCTGCCTTCAATCTGAACCATCACGATACTACGTTCCAACAATATTGAAGCAGTACTGTTCTTCCTTCTCACGTCTGGTGAGGGCCTCCTGGGCGCACTTGTTGAAATCACAACGGTAGATGATGCCACCGTAACTGATGGGAAACATCAACAATGAAGCGAATAGGAGTAGCTTACGCTGAACAAGTGATGGCCATACCAACAACAGAGGCCCACCAGATACCAGGGACTCCCATAGCAGGTAGAGGTCCCCATCCGAAGGCGAAGAGGTAACTGAAAGAAGATAATGCTAGACAGGGAGGGATGAGGCAAGTACCCTAGAGGTAATCGGATGAGGAGCATGGCAAGGAGTTTGTAGGTAGAAGCCCGGCCCTGATAGAGACACATGGTCGGCAGAAGATGGTAGAAGGACTAACCTGGAGGGCGCAACCCCTGAGAACTCCTTCTTGGCAGGCCTGCATGGCGTCGAAGATACAGAAGACAGAGACGGCTAGAAGGGCGGGACAAAGAATGGAGAGGACCTGTGATAGGATATGATGGAGGACGAATAAGGTTATGGTTTTACCGCAGAGTCGCGGCTATAGAGATAGGCAACGTAGTAACGGAAGTTGCACATGAGGATGGCGACAATGACGAAGCAGACGAGAGTTCCTCGAATGATTTTATGATTGAACAGATGGGCCGTGCGAACATCACCGGCACCCAACGAGTTGCCTGAAAGCGTCATCATTACGGAACACTTTACAGTGTGAGTAACGCACCAACGAGGGCGCTGGCACTCTGACTGATTCCACAAGGGCCCATGTAGATGATGGAGACGATGTTGGAGGCGGCAACGTGAGCTGCCAAGGCCATCGGGCCGACCCAGCCAGCGAACACCGACTGATTGAGCTCATACTGCACAGAGGGGGACGAGTTCTCTTACCTGGACCTCGTAGGCCCACCATTCACTCCACATGAGGAGGGCAGAGGGGATAGCCAAAGCCACGAACTCCCACAGGTTGTGGAGACTCTCAGGAGTCCAACCGTGAGCGTGGGTCTCGGGGTGCCAGATAGCTGCATAGAGCTCAAGAAGGATGAACCGGCCCCATTGAGTGCAGGTCATGGCAATACCAACACCATATGCACCGAAATGGAACCTGAGACGCTTAATCGAGGATGTCTCAAGAGGAGCTGTTGAAGGAGATACTTGAATAGGAAGAGCCAACAGAAGAGGGCATGTCCACAGCCTGTGATGGCATTGACGTAGAGAGGGGCTTCCGGCAGTCTGTGCGACCTGTCAACAAGAGTTGTGATATTATGTCCGTCAGCGCGGTGATAACCTCAAGAAGCTGCACATGGCGTTGTACATAAAAAAGGGCCAGAGACCCCAGTTCATGCCACGGACGTAACTGACAATTGAGCCGTCGGAGATGACAGGGTTGAATAGTGCCTCACTCCGCCGCAAGCTTAGACGTGAGCGGGTCCTGGTTCATCCAAAGGAGGATAGGTTCAGTGTAGAACCTGAGAGGTAGTTTCGTGGCGCGTGACGGATGTGAAGTGTATTACATGACTATGAAGCAAGGAACGAAAGCGATAGTGCCGACAATACGTGCACGATTGAAGTAGATGAGGCCGAGATGAGGGTTCCCAGCACCAACTGCCTGACTGACCAGAGTGTCCAGAACCTATGGGCACAGTGTCCGTTGTGAGGAATATAAGACGCTCCACTGAGTATTGAACCAGGGTCGGCTCGTGGAGAAACACACAGTCCACCATCCGGTCACTTACAGACATGAGTCCAACTCCAATACTAAATCCGAACACGTTCTGGATAACTGATCCGAGACCAATCGCGCCAAGCATATGGGAATCATTGGTGGCCGATACAAAGAAGATAGTAATAACGAATATAGAGTACCTGTGATGAATAACTCCATACCATTCCTTCCACGAATCACAAATGAAGGCCCTTAATCCTACATGACGAGGAAGCTGATCATGTTAGGAATGGCCAGCTGCATTATCTGTACAAATGGCGACTTCTTATTCGCCTTCTCAAGGCGACTTTCACCAGACGCGGTCATTGGAACAACTTCAATCGTCAAACTAAGGCCAAACATATCTCGAGGTTCCCCACATGAGATACGAAGTAGGTCAGGTTATACTCCCCACTCTACCATTCATCTTCATATGCATCACACCCTACATTGCCTTTAATCCTGATACTAACCGTCGTGTGGAATGCTCCTTACCTGCTCAATTACAACGTAGACCAATATACCGATAAGCACGGCGTCTGGGTGCTACGGAACAGGTTCAGGACCTGTGGCCCGTTCAGTAGGCTAGGTTGATAGCGTTCCCAAGAACACTCTCTTGAGCCCGTTCTTAGTCCCGCTAAATAAACACGTCGTGAGAAATTTCCTAGGCTTGAACTCCAGGAAAGTTTAATAGTAACCTTTCTCGATCGAATACCCTGCGCTCCGTCAGAAACGAGCCATTTTGTCAACTTTGCTAGATTGGATTAGCGGGAACTGAACCCGGATCGCTTGTGTATTGACAGACCCTCTTAGTCTCTCGGAGACACGAAGAAAATACCTCCTCAACCACCACAGCGTGACTCCAGAATACCCCACTAGATAATTGTCGACTATCACGAAGTAACCGACGATTTGCTCATATCTTACACCTACAGTGCAAGCTGTATGGCCACTGGGATCTGGCAAAACCCCCAACCAACACCAACGAATAATGAACCTCATGACAACAAACGCTTATATACCCTTACAAACCGGCACTTGAATGGCAAACACAACACTCAATCAACTCTGCAAGCACGGATGCATTACAACGTGTGTAAATACCATCCGATGTGCTTGAAATAACATTTTCTACTGAGATTACGGTGATAGAGATCTAACACGGTGATGAGCACAGTAACCCCTATCACAATGATGAAACAAGATTGATAAGCTTTATGACGGCGACGCGGCACGCCAATAGTGAATAAGATCTAATCCATATGATTAGAGGAAAATAGAAGCGTCAATATCCATCCCCAAGAACATAATAAGACAAGCACAACTTAACCACTGATAGATTGGCAAGAGGGGATCGACAGAGAGGCCGACTGTGAATAACCACCAGTGAGCGTCTCTCCACTTACCAAAGAGCATTGGAGGGGCCCAGACAACGAAAAACCACTGGCACACAGCGGCTCACAAAATCGATCAGACAATGTAGTCAACTCAGTCTTTCCCACACATCTCCATGATAACCAATCATCTTTGGTAAGATAGTCAACATCATCACCACCATATACTTCGATGGGATTATCCCCTGAAGCAGTAACACCCATTCCAGCCGAACTGAGCTCATCCATTGATAGATGCCCATCACCATTCACATCGATCGACTGGAACACACCAGAGAGGCCGGCACTAGTATAAGCTGCAGACACGTTTGGAATACCAGTATAAACATCGACGAAACTCTGGCCTGATGAACAGATGACATCGGTCAATCTCGGATGATAAATCGTTGACATAAACCCGAATATAGCACTTGAGGTGACAGCAGCGAAGAATAGAGTGAACACCCAAGCCGCAGCAATCTTCACAAATAGGCTCCAGTTAACACTCTTCCTCCCATTCTTCTCACATAGTCCAACACCAATAGTAGAACCAACCATACAATGAGTCGTCGAGAGTGGGATACCAAGGTTAGAACCAACAAGAACAACCCAAGCTGACCCCAACTCAATGGATGAACCTCTCGCGGGACTGATTTTGATAAGACTGCAACCGACAGTTCTGATAACATTGTAACCATAGGTTAACAGGCCAATAACAATACCAGCTCCACCGAAGAAGAGAATCCACAAGGGAACGGCAACACTCGATACGACATCAGCAGTTTGCCATATACCCCATATTGATGCAATAGGACCAATAGCATTAGCAACATCATTAGCACCATGGCTCACCGATGCGAACGAAGCACTAACAACCTGTAAGATCTTGAAAGTCTCTTCAGCCTTCGGAGGGAACACCTCAGCATTATCTTGAATGGCAGCAATCTTGACGTCACCATCACGCGCCTCTGAATGGAGGTCACGATTAAAAGCAACTTTGCCTCTCTTAGGCTGCACCGGACTTTCCTCAACCTTCGTTACTCCCGAACCAACTTCCTCATCGTCACTACTCGACGGTTTAGCAGATGAAACGCTCCTCACAGGAGCTGTTGCTGGTAATGGAAGCTCAGCAACCTCGGGAGCCGCTGCAATCCTACGTTTAACAAGACGATAGGTTGCAATGTAAGTGACAAAGGCCAGGACGATGCCGATGCCAACAGCTGTTAGAGCTGCAAATGCTGGGTAGTTACTGGCAAATGCTTTGATCTGCTCCTGTGAGTTCTTAAAGACGATAAAGAGACAAACGCTGATGAATACGATGAGGAGAAGTACTGGGAAAAAGCGGTAAGAGTACTTGGCAGCATTGTCACCCTTACGCAGAATAAAGGTTCGAACCAATAAGAACCACGAGCCACCAACAATAGCAGCCAAGAGTGGTGAAGTTATCCAAGATACGATAATCATCAATACAGATAACCAATCAACAGCATCATAACTCACCGACATACCAACACCTATCAGCCCTCCTATGATGGAGTGAGTAGTGGATACAGGGAAGGACATTACAGTAGCAATGACAAGCCATGCTCCAGCACCAGTTAGGGCTGAGAACATCGCCAACATCAATAAGTCGGGGTTATACAAGAAGTAATCGCCATTGAGAATACCTTTACGTACAGTATCAGTTACTGAAGCACCCATTCCAATAACACCAACCATTTCACAGATAGCAGCGAGCACAACCGCCTGCTTGAGGGTAACCGACTTTGCACCCACCGCTGCAGAGAAAGAGTTGGCTACATCATTAGCCCCGATACCGTACGCCATGATAAAACCAACAATAAAGCCCATAATCACCAGCCACAGAAATTCACTCTGAAAGGCTGATAGGTTACTCGCGATTGTTGTTGGATCTGCAAGGCCATGTACCAAGAGTGGGAGAATGGTCGTAACGGGAAGAAGAGCCCTCAACATGATCCCACCGGAGGCTGACAAAATCTAACTGAAATTGGAAGATGCTGAAAATCCAGGCCAACTTATCATATCTATACACACGACTATCAATGCAGAACTCTCAACTACTGCTAGCGACTCCGCAACGGAGTGCAACAACACAGCTTCAGCTAGTGCTGTCCCTAATGGAGCGATGTAGAGTGCCTAAGTTGACTCCCAACTAAAGCTTATCAAAGGCGCAGAAAAGCCTTTGTGTATGCGTGCAACTGTGTAAGGGCATAGCTAATGGCTTAAGGGCACAAATAACTTCAAGAGTGCAAGGATAACCATTCTCAGTTACTTACACTGAATAGATGAGGAGAAATGCTAAGATGACAATGGTGCACACAGAGAGATTCAGCTAAAGAGACATAATGCTCAACTAACGCCTGATTACAGCATATAACAGCGACATGTGCATGCGTGCAGCAGCAATATAAACCTTCAGAGATAGCTGTGTACACAGGCGTTTACTGTTGAAACAAGGCAGCATGTTATTCCCCTCACGGATTGGAGTGGAAACTTAACACTATAGCAGGGAAGAAGAGCAGAAAGCTTCCGTAATCATGATGGATGGTTATGATGAAGATAATTATCGTCCCGTACATTCACGCGAGTGCACGAGACAACAACCATCTTATGAGAGCCTCTATACACCGCGTAACTAAGGCAAGCTTCGACAACAACAGCTTTTGTGCCTATGCAGATGACTTTCATATCTAAGGTGAAATCGACAGCTCTTACTATTGTATCGGGATCTCGAATAGTCCTAGAATTCACAAAACTATGAGGATCCTGATCCAACTCCTTCATCTGTTTCACCACCTTAGCGAGTCGTTCTATCATATTAGGCATACCTGGTAGGGGAAGGACTACGAGAAGAGGCGAATGAGTGGTATCACCACGGATGTAAGAGCTACTCAAGGAAAGGGTCACCTCGCGTAACCAATCCATTTTGGAGTCAACCACAGTGACCATTATATCTGCCGCTGGTGTCTTCAGTTGCGACGCTAATGCTTCGACTGATGATAGAAGATCGATACCGAGTAGGCTTTCTAGTTCGACCCACTCAAGTTGATCTTTAAATCGGGTCGAGTAGAAAGGGGAACGATTGTGGTGCCTGGTAAAGGATGACTTAACCACAACTCTGGCTGTGAGGAGGTCATGTCCAACAGTTCTTGCAGCAGGTCTTCATTCCATCGCTGCTGGTACCCAACGTTCAGGTCTTCCACCTACCAGATACATCAGAATCCATGGAGAAGTCCGTCAAGAGTTGGCATGCACGCATGCACATGGCGGCGTGCACATACGTGTTAATCAAATATTCAGAGCAGTATAACCACTACTGTACCCACCTCTTGTAATGTATGACTAACGACCCGCTGAAAAGCCTCATCCCATTTCCCTTCATCGACGAGGCTATTCGTCTGTCGTCTCACTGCAGCGGATGAACCTAGATGGAATACTCTCACCGGGAGTAGAACCCGGGATCTCCACTTGACAACATAGGGCTCGATGATGTGCTATCCCCTGCCCTATTAGCAGCATTCCTACTTCCAATTATCTAAAACAGTTGCGAGTGAGATGGATCCAACAACCTATCGAGTAGTAGAGGAGAGTTTCACCACGTTACCAGTATCATAGTTTCACCAAGATCCCCACCCAACTCACTTTCTGAAGTTCTCTCATCTGAGCAAGCATCGGCCTTATGACTTGTCCACGCACTTGCTCGAGCACCTTCATTAAGTTAACGAAGTGTGGTATGTAGGGAAGTCTCCTCCATTACCCGATCAGCAATCTCAGCTTCGGAGGGGGTGAGCAGATCCGGCGAGAGCGCGCGTGTGTCAAACTCCCTTGCAGAACGCTGGCTCTGAATTAATGCCAGTCGTCGGGTTCGAACCGGCGCCAGTTTCAGTAACCCTATCAAGACCTCGTAACTGCTTGACTGCTTCTGCTAGCTTCACATCGGTATCGTTACTCGAGAACTGCTGCTTCCTGAAGTTGTGGAAGTAATCTTTCTTCAGCCTAGCTAACACGTAGAGTTACTGTGCAAGGCTCCGAACGCGGGTCTCCAAAACCTTGCATTTATTAGACAATAGATAAATCTGAAAGGAGCCGGCGAATTGTGAAAAATCCGAAGGCCGAAGAGATCGTTACTATTTGACGAGAAGAATCCAAAGCTCTGCGGAGTTCCTCCACTTGGGACGTCTGATCCGCTGCGACCTTCAACCTGGAACCTTCTTCTTCTTCTTCTTCTTCTCGATACTTGGACGCGGCTCGGCCCGATGGCCACTAAGCCGCCTTCACGTCAGCCATTTATCTAGAAATCCGAGGGGGCGACAGTCACCATGCAGGCCCCAGCCGTTTCGTAAGGTTGATGTACCGCTCTAGCGCCGCAGCAAGGGGCTTGTCCCTCAGTAGCACATCCCCAGAGGGGGGAGGCCATGCAATTCCGCGAAGCTGGATCATACGTTGTAGCTCAGTGCGGTACTGTTGCCAGTGGGGACAGGCAAAGAGAAAGTGGAGGAAGTCCTCCTCCTCCCCAGAGTCACAGCAGGGACATACACCCGATCCACCATCGACCTTCTTGCGGGAATATCGTAGCACGTTCCTTCCACTTACCACCTTCCACACTCCCCTATACGCATCAAGTTCACAGAGAACCCGGAGAGAGGAGGCCGTGGGAACGAAGTACCGGAAGGACCGACCTAGCGACTGAACCTCCGAGTCAAAAGCCGCATCACACCGACCGTGCAGCCATCGGGACATGGCCACTTCCAGAGCATCGCGAGTAAACGGTACTTGCAGGTCAGCGCCAATGCCGTGAACCGAGGCAGCCCGCGCGGCCGCATCCGCCTTCAGGTTGCCGATGCTACCTTTGGAAGGAGTATACGCCAGCTCAAGGGTAGCCTTCAGGTTGCTCAGACGCCTCATTACGAGAAGGGTTAATGCACAGACAGAGTGTCGGTTTCCTGTTCCTGTCGTTAGCCGATCAATCGCCCTTTTGCAGTCCGTGAAAATACAGATGTGAAGCTCGGGATTCTCCATCCGAGATCGAGTCGACTCCGCCGCTTGGAGGATGCCGACGAGCTCCGCTTGTACAGGAGTAGTGTGCGGTGGCAATCTGAGACCTAGTGTTGACCAAGTACCTCGCTGATTCAGCCATGCAACGGCACAGCCTGCACAGCGTCCAGGAGTCACGGAGCCATCACAATATACCTCCGCCGTATCACAGTTCAGGGTAGAATGCCGCGCTCCCACAACCAAAGGGAACACCCTAGGGTGAGACGCCGCATCCAGAGGGCGTTCAACGGGGAACGAACCCACAACATCCCTGGCAATGTGTTGGATTGGATGCTGCTCGAAGAATTCGGGCCACTGAACCCTTCGCTTCACGCACAAGGATAGGCACAAGTCATCCCAGGGAGTGCACTGGGGACCGACACGGCACGAGAAGGCAGTGGGAGTGCGCCCGCTGATGCGTCGAGCGCGCTTATAGAGCTTAGCTTGAATCGACCTAAGCTGGCCAGCAACTCGTTGCCGTGCCAAGGCGACGCCCCAGCAGCCAACTCCATGAAAGAGATAGCCCCGAGCGATTGTATCGAAAAGGCGCAAGGCTACATCCGGTAGAAAGCCCCCACGTGCTGTGGATGTGTCTCTTGACTGTGTGATAAGCACCCTCAATCCTAGCAAGGGTCGCTGCCACGTGTGTGCCCCATCTGAACTTGCGATCTAGCTGAAGCCCGAGCCATTTAACGCACCTTTCTACGATGACAGAGCCATAGACGGAAACCGAGCAGCCGGGACCCCCGTGCTTCTTGTGTGCTGGGAAGCACATCAGCTGAGTCAACCTGGAACCAGAAGGTATCTCAAGGTTAAACTTGCAAGATACGAAATATGCCCACCAAGCCACTCACCTCAAGGAGTTCACACGATCAAGCATTGCCGGAACGAGCCGATGTTCAAGTTCATTGCAAAGAGACTTCTCCAGTTCGGTGTCCACAGCCGCCCCTAATGCGCTTCTTACCTAAGCCAGCCAAACCATCTTAGTCTAATGATCACAGCCGCACACTATCCCTGATATAAAGCCTGGATACGAAGCTCACAGGTCAGTTATACGCCGTCTTTCTGCTACAACAATACTCTCTCAGCATTCACACTGCTACACCCTCCTTGTTGAAGAGTACAGCGATATGGCTCACTACATGTCCGCTGGACACAGCGTCACAGGTGCCCTTATCCATCTCGGAAGCTATCCTATCAATAAACGTCTCGTCCATCACCATATGGGCCACAGATCGATATATAGTAGCCTTCATGGTCCCAACGAGCTCAGCCAGATGCTCAGTAGACTGATCAACCGCGAGTAGTTATGATGATAGTAAAGCAGCCCATCCGAGGGTACCTCGAAAGCACCTGCTCTGTTCAACTCCGGGAGCATCCTCGCTTGGATATCATTTTGGAGAGCATCTCTTATGGCTGATAAGGGATGCTATCACAGGTAGACTAAAGGAGTTTTGATATTCATAACTTTCATCGCCACTCACACTATGCATACCATGCCGACATAAAATCAACCAGCGACATCCCCTATCACCTGAGCCATACAGCTTTAACGTCTCATAACTGAGTCTATCAGCATCCGACAGGATCGCCGGACGACCATCATCGAAGAGCTTCTCGAAGGTGGGGTTGGCAGCGCCTACCTTCTTACGATGATGATGACCGTTCAACGGGCATTCTGGATCCTTGGTCGCTGCTGGTGTTGCGGTGTCAGCTTTAGTACTGGACATTTACGGATAGACTAATCCTTTATCACGTGCATTAGAGTATTATTACGACTAAACAGAGGTCCGGTGTTCGATCCCGGCACCTGCCATTTCTTCATCTTGGATCTCATATAGGCTTCGAAGGAGAGTTTAATGACCGAATTTCGTAACTTGAGATCCCCCATGAAGCGCTATATACAACTGGAAATGGATGATAATATGGGTTCTGAGTTCCAGGATTAGCTTAACATCCGATGGATCAAAAGGGCGTAAACCTTGGTGGTGTTTGTTACACGAATTAGGTCATGGATGTACCTTCTAGTCAGCCGTGGTAGATACGAATGATGATACTCTGATGAGCCCGTGGTGGGCATGATAGGAGGATCCCGCTGGTTAGGTTACTCATCCGCATACTTACCGTGCTCACTGAGCGCTGCTCAGATTCGCCTGTATTAATGCCAACTCCAAGCTCTCTCTTTAACCTGATGAGGTTACCAGTGAACCCACGGAAGCAGCATCTAGCTTGTGTACATCCTCCTAGAGTACACTATAATGTCCAATACCAGCTAACAGCAGAGATCGTGAGTGACGGCGGGCTATGTCATTATACTGAGATCACTGCCGTCGAACTCAATAGGTAGGGAAGAGGATTGAAGAGGGTGCGTAACCACGCGGCATTTAAAAATAAGGCAAATGAATGCTGAGATGGTTACAGAATGATACTCATGCACTAGGACTCGAACTAATCACTGCACTACCGAGATAGATATCTTCAGGGAGTTGACAGTAACATCATCATCTTAGAAACTGCCATAAGATGCTCTGTAGAGGTTGCGCTCGCCCACCACATCACGTTTGCGTACGCAATATCGTCACGGAAGTCACAGCCAGATCATAATCCGAAATTGACGAGTTGGAGACTCATGGTTTGCTCATGTAGATGATACCTTCTCTGTGTGGAGGATAGCATTCTGCCTAAATTGTGTGGGCACTTGGTCACAGTCTCATCATGGTGCCCTCCAACAACTCAATCGGGGAGAGTCCGGGTTCGATCCCTGTACCTTTCGTTTTTACCATGTCTGGAATCGTGATGCTTCACAAAAGGTAAATGATACTCGTGTTGGATGGATCACATCATATGGTCTTGTAGTAGATTGTGCTAGACACAAATCATGTTGCAATTCCATAGGCCAGCGTATGTCGCCATTAGATCTACCTTCAGTCAACGTATACATTTCCTCTCTGACTTGAACTGAACAAATGGACTCCCAAAACGCCGTCCATCAAGATGACGTCATCGTCGTCGACGGGCAAACAGAAATGGATGACTTGTTATTCGCCCAAAAGATGGCCGAGGTACTACTGTGAAGTCTCCATCCGGAAGGGTTAGAGGAATGTTTGAGAATGCCTTTGATGTTCTATCGTCAACTGAGGGACGATTTTGGTAGAGTGACTCCAGTCAATGGAGGTTAAGTTAGGCCGGCATTTTCTTATGTTGCATCATTGTTCGGAATTGGTACTCACCGATGAAGGGACTAGTATTAGGGTTGGCTAATCGTTCTCGTAAGGGAGTAGCATTTCCGTGGCCTCAGGTGGAGCTCAGAGCTATGCCATCAAGTAGTGGTTCAAAGCCGGCTGTGGCGCCGAACCTCCTGTTGAGGAAGGAGGCACAGTGTCAGGACTATGATGATCTATCTGATGACAGTGATAGTGAGGAGACCCCTGTAGTGCCACAAACCCAATCGGCGGTAACTGAGACTCCTGTGATGGAGGAGAAGAAGGAAGAGGTAGGTGATGTTAGGCAGTATTGCTGAGGATATGCCTGTCGTTTTCCCTAGACTGATGGGGCCGCCAAGGCTGATAGTCCCCTCGGCAAGCCTGTGGAATATCAAAAGGAGAAGTCCATGTTGGATGCGGTCCTAGCCGGGAATAATCTTGATGTGAATGAGTTTTGTTCATACCGTTCCATGCGCGACTCGTCTCAGACTATCGAGGATGATGAATCTGACACTATGGATGAAGAAGAGGAGAATGTCATCGGATCGCTCGCAACTTTGGAAGATACTATTCCGGACAGTGAAGAAATTCGGAAGATAGGTACTGAAATGTGGGAAGTGGCAGCTGCTGGGGATTGAACCCGGGTCGGTGTATGGTCGGACCACAGGTACTGTCCATTCGATTGTTGAGAAGTGTATCGTCGTCCGTGGTGATGATATAGCAAGCTCTGACCTTGCCCTTGATGTCGAGAGCGTTCTCTGTGACGAGAACCGGAAAGTGTTAGGCATGATAGTGGAGACGTTTGGACAGGTAGTCATAATGGCTGACAAGGGATATAGAATCCTCGAGAGGTTCTGTTATATCTCGATGTAGTTCTCTGTGTACGGTTGCAACAGCTAAAATATTCCCATCACTATCAAAGCGACGGGAGATTTGATTCCTTCTTAAACCTTGATTAGAAGGGAATCCTCATTTTCCGCCACAATAACTCGGTTGCAGTTCCTTTGCGGTGAGTGGGCCAAATGGATATTGTAGTTCTTGTGCCCCTTAGACAGCAGCCCCGATGTACTTGGTGTATCCGAAGAACCCTGTAGATGAGAGCGAATACTCGCTAGGTCCGGACACGACAGGCCCTTCGGTGTACGCGGTAGTTAGTCGGATGAAAATGGTGGCTATTGCAGACGATTGGGGGCATGAGGGTAAATTTCGGTGGAGTAGTTCCGTGGTGCTTCATTGGTGTTTCTCAGGTGGTAATGCTATAATGGATGCTGGAAGGGACTCTGACGATGAGGAGATGAAGAGTTCTCCGCCTAGAGCAATTGCCAATGAACCTAGCTTTGATGCTGAGGCTCACATGCGTGACTTACCCCCTCCTGCAGTCAGCAAGGGGAAGGGCAAGGGTAAAGGCAAGGGAAAGGGCAAAGGAAAGGGCGCGGGTTCGAATCACGGCAAGGGTACTTCTGAGGTTTCGGGATATGGAAAGGGCTCTCAGTGGGAAGGATGGGAAGCTCCTAGTTGGGAGTGGGGCGCCCCTAGAGGATGGGGACCGCCACCGCCGATGTACTATTGGGGTGATTATGGTACCCAAGGGGGTAGTCCTCAGGGCAATTTCGGGAAGGGGTGGTATGAAGGACAGAATGCCATGCAGGGCAAGGGCAGTTGGGCTGGGAAGGGTTACGCTGAGTGGACACCTAACAGTGATTTCGGGAAAGGATGGTATGAAGGACAGAGCAACGTGAAGGGCAAAGGCAGTTGGGGTGGCAAGGGGGGCGCTGAGCAGTCATCTAACGGCGATATCGGAAAGGGATGGTATGGTGGTAAGGGTGCCGATAATGGTAAAGGTGGCAGTGGGCAGCAGTGGGGTGACTGGTGGAACAATACTCCTCAGCAGAATTGGTGGGGATGGTAATCTTCTCTGTTCTTTACTGTAATTATGGTTCCTTTCATCAACGTTTACCAATCATTTTATTGTCGTGTTCATCAACAGTAGTAGAGGTTCATAGGCAGGGCCTCTCCAGAAGCACTTTTTCACCAGAAGATCAACGGAGACGGTGCGACTTCGCCTCTGCTGGCAACAACACCGCCAATCATATTAATACTATTCCGAACAGTCCTTAGGCGGTCTACAGCACCCGTAGATTAACCGAGACACTAACCATCTACCGTTTAGGATGGGACGACAGGGAACGTGCAGGGGTTTCGTAGGTCTACGCTAGTGTGGCCATCAGCCTATCGTCGAAATTGCCCATCTGTTACTTTTGATAGGGCTTCCTTTCGACATTACTCCTGGAGTATTTGAAGACGGAGTCACTTGTAACGATGAATCGATTGTACATTTCTCATGCGATAACGTTGGTTGCCCATAAAAGTTACATGGTCTGTAAGACTCTCAAACTCGACAATGGAAATCTACTCGATAACTGTTTTCAATAGTCTACAATCTTAACAGCATGGAAAGAAACAAAACTCAGGGAGGCAGCTGACAAGCTGATCTCATCATCTAAGGAGACAGTTGTGTATTGAGAAGGCAGTTGAGGCGTATCGAACAGAGGCGTCAACCGCCACGTCGAGTTGCCACTCACGCCCCACAGGTGTCCTACAAAAGCACCGCATTGATAAGGCACGCGATATCGACCTACTCAGCGTGGTTCTAGTCTTCCTCGATGCCATCCCTGGATTACGCATTCCGAATAACCCATCAGTAGTATTGCTCGTCGCCCAGCCATACCTGATCGGATCACACAGTAAAGCATTGGGCAGCAGATGCCCCCTCCTACAGCTGTCCTCGCTCGGGGTCACCACCGATCCATTGGACATGACGAAGAATCGATTGGAACTTCCGATGAAAACGAACACCGTCTGCGATAATCCCCCAGTGCTTCTTAGTGAGCTCTTCTGGCTGTATATACCTTTCAACAACGGAAGAGTCCTGATATGATTTTGGAGAAGAGCGAGAAGAGTCTTACAGCTCTTGCAAGCCCACCCCACTGAAAAAATAGGTGTAAACTTCCGTCTTGAATGATGTTAAGTCAGATATGGTATCCTGCAGTAACTAGGAGCGCTATCGGGTTATACACTGCTACTATCACTACACCCTACATAGCCCGCCTCATTTGCCCGACTTTGAACAATACCGTGGAGCATGAGGTTCGCTATAGGCATCAGCTGCCCCCGCAAGACAACATTCTGGTATACCTAGCGGGGAAGTGTCCGATGGATGGTATGCGAGTTGGTCAACTATTATTAACAGATGCATCTCGTTCAGTGATATGCATGTCTCGTCTGTTACCCCATCCTGCAAGACCAAGGTCATAGCCATCCTTCCAGATACCTGAGTCCACACCGGTTTATACAACTCTCAAGGTCTCATCTCACTATCGCCATAGATAAGCCAATAAGGGCTCGGCCATGTCCCTATCGTTAGGTTGATCCATACAATGTTACCCTTACCCCGGCGCCGTATGTTGAGTATCTGCTACCTCTCTTTGAGGAGATCAGCGCGTGTACTTACCAGTTTGATAAGGGAATCCACCTCGCCAGCGTACTTGTCCGCACCTTTGCTGAACTGTCCTCCTGCTATACCGTCGAATTTAAAGAAGACTACCTGAGAGGAGGCTCTCACTGAGACCATCGAAATGGAGAGACCCACGTTGTCGTTCTCCACAAACATCAAGGCTTGATCGGAGAATACCTAATAGAAGTTCTACTATTATTGGGGTATATCCCTCGAGGAGACACATCGTAGCAGTGAATATAGCAATCTTCTATGTCATTGTTACATACCCCTTAACGGAACGTATATCCCTCAACAACTAAGACGGGTTTGAGCCGAAACTTCGGGATGAGAATCCACGGGTTGATAGGATGGAATACACCAACTCATCTCACTAATAGGATGGACGGGAGTGGATGACTCAGAGCCACAACCCAACGGAAGGTACATTTCGAGGACCCAAAAGAAGAGGACTTCGAGTGGACTACCTCGAGATATACTCTCAGAACTAAGCACAGTTTGAAGAGGGGAAGAAAGAACTGCTACTAGATGGAAGCAGCCTCCCAGGAGCTGACCTTGGAATACTTCTTGCCAGCTAAAGTGAATGTCCTCCTTTCCATATCCACTTCATAACCCATCTTCATACCATGTATCAGGCGACGTCGGGATGCCTCTTGATACCTTCACACGAAGGACTACTACCCTTCGTTATTATATTTTGAAGTATGCCAATCAGACGATTGAGCCTTAGAATTCAGGTCTACAGCAGCAATTCCATGTTCTATACGCATACCCAAATAGATGTCGAGACTTACCCACCGAAAGGTGACATCCAAACACCGAGTTTGACATTATGTTCTTCTTGTGCCTTCTTAGCTACCGCACTGAGATCTCCACTAGGGAAGGCTTTCTTATTAACGCCCCATAGAGTGTCCCAATCATCCCATCCATCATCAAGTAATACTCCATCAAGATGCACCTAACCTCAAATGCTTACCATTCGATGGAGGTCTACTACTAGACTCACCCCCTCCCCCTCAAGAGCAGTGGCAATGGCATTTATCCGTTCATTGACGTTATCCTCCGTAAACTTCTTAGAATATTCACAGTACGGATCGTGACCACCCACCTCAGCATCAATGCATGGTTTATATCGGAGGTCATACCTGATGGCCAACTCTGATGACACGCTACCTCCCTGCTGAGTACCATGTGTTGTAGTGGAGCCAGGAGTGAAACGGAGCAGCTCTTATCATCTCTATATAGTTTGAGAACGTTTTAAATAGCGACACTGACCCTTGCAAGGGATCGAACCTGCGCATGAAAATATTCATAGCTTTCAGAAGCTGCTCAACAAAGGATGATCTCCTACTTCCCTACAGCAGCTGAATACCCAAAGTCGGTTATTGGATGCCGTATGAATCCTGCAGCACGCCGCGACTTCTCCTCGAAGACGTTCTTCGCACGAGGATGCTCCAGCCCACAGTATAGGGATCTTTCTGGGATGATAACCTGAGAACATAAGCGTTGAGGAATTGTAAGATAGCAAGATTATGAAAACTACCGGGCTACCATCGACCACTCCTGCCTTATACGGTTCATCCTCTGGGACCTTACCCCGATCCAACGGTATGTCCAACAAAAGCAACGAACGCATCTCTAGCGGGGTTTTGGATACCACTCGAACAGCTACTCCTGACATTGATTCGTATCATCTGATATCGATTCTCTACGGACCACCACAGGTACCATATACAGTACTTGAGGTCCATTTTATGTACTTACTTGCAATTGGTGTGGTAACAAGATTCTTTGGTGAATCTTTCATAGTCACCATGCCTGCCCAACGCACGGTAAAGGGTTCCCCACCCTTCCCACAAGTGCATTGGAAGTCCAGTCGGAGTTTGTCATGAGCCCAACCCCGGCCCTCCAAGGTAAGCACTTCATCATCAAGTGAAGGCCTTATTTTGCATACCTCCGGGTAGACCTCACCTGACCAGGATGGAGGAAGAGGTACGAGGCCAATGGGAAGAACATTGGTAGGAACGAGAGATTGCGAGGCCAATCATAAGAGGACACATCATTTCCCGCGAGGTAAGTTCCTCGTCGCATCCCCCACAGATATCCCTTTAGGCGTGTGGGAAGAGCGGTGATAGGTTTCGGAGTAGTTTTTTATCGGAGCTACGATCTACCGATTGATAAGAAATCCTCGACTATAGTGAACAAGCTCCCATCGAGTCGGAAGTCCCAACTCACATCCATCAGGTGCCTCTATGTAGAAGAGCGAGCCCATGTCCACAGTGTCCTTCTTCCCCTCAACCGTATCAAAGATAGCTCTAGCTCTCATACCCTTATCTGTTTGGTAGACCTCTAGAGCTACTCTATCGCCATCTATCCGCATATCCTGCCCAATTGAACTCAATGCTTGGGGTCTTCCATCTCCAGATTGACCCGAGTTATCAGGCACGACTGGAGAGCGGCTCCCAATTCCTTCTCGTCCGGGAAGGGCTATCATCGCGAGATAGAAGTACCTGACCATCTCTCAGTGACCAATGACGCCCTGGCTTTTGATACATAAATTTAATCATGAGGTACACCGAATAGTATAGTAATAGTAGTACTCACCATAGTATGATACAGAGGAATATACCACCAATAAGCCGATTCCGGAACCCCTTCGGGCCCAGTACCGAGGGACCATGACGATGGTCACCTACCATGATAAACTGAACTGATGGAAGCAAGAACTAACACTGCGGCTGCCGAGGTAGCCTTGCACTCTGCATACGTGCGCATTACACTGTCGATCCACGAGTATGGGCATGCTACTACTCAGCGACTGCCACGTTCGATCTACTAGATACTCTAAACACTATAGGCCCTCTACTATTCACTTGAATGTCATCCTACAATGGCTCGGAGTAGAACATAGGCATCAACACAACATGTCCAACACGATCTACGCAATACTTTGATATAACATCGATTACGCCTCTCCAATCGAGTGAACGAAAATTCGAATTCGGTACTATATACACTGGAGCCGGTTGAAAGGACTACTCATCGTGAACATATTGTGGCTAGGTCATGATAGCACCCAACATGTCCTTTGTACCCTATTCCGCATAGTGCCACCTCCAGGAACCATCACACCAGGAAACGCAATGCGTATAGTAATCACTCGAGCACTTCACACTAGTGGCAATGAGCTTGAATTAAACTAAAGTATGCAATAACGATGGCTGCTAGATCCTCTGCGATCCTGGTATCGGGGAACGTCCATGGGTGACAATCCTGTTCGTAGGTGTGAAGTCTCCGTTGAAAGTAGACAGATCCCTCTGCGTGGAATTCATCTTGCTGCTGCCTCCTCCAACAGGTACTCCTAAAGGGGGCATATTCAGCTGGGTTTGGATGACCACTCTTCGACCTATAAGAGCTGTTTCGTCGAAGTTAAACAAAGGATGATCGGAGATGCTACCGTCACAGAATGCTTTGATGAGAAGACACATTTGATAGAAACACCAACCAGTGATGACCATCATAAGAGGATCAAAGGTAACCAACGCTAAGAGTAGGAAGAAGAGACCACAAACAAGGGCGAGCCATATCATCACGAGACTAGCATTCTTAGCACTCCTACAAAGGCATCGATAGAACAGTTGCCCCGTCCAGCAGGATGCATCCAAGGGATACACGGGTACCAAAAGGTTCACAGCAACCAACCATAAGTTCAATGCAGCAGCCCAGAAGCAAAGACCCTCCCAATCGCTGAGGGTAATCTCAGTATCAGGATCATCCTCATCAAACTCCCACTTCTTGAACGTAGCCCCACCAGCTAGGAACCAACCACCGAAGAGGAATACGTTGACAAGAGGACCGGCGAGTGTAACGAAGAGCTTATTACGAAAAGTTCGATCATACCAAGATACCCCAAGGCCACCTAGAGGCCATAGAGTAACCTCATCTGTATGGCCACCAACAAGACGAGCTGCAGCGGCATGACCCATTTCGTGGAGGAACACAGTCACCACTAGTATACAGACGCTGACGGAACCAAAGCCTGGGGAGTAGACGATGAGCTGGCCCATCGAATAGAATAGGATCGTAGGATGGACGCGTAATCTGGGTAGGAGCCTGTTTCCCTGGAAGACGGTGAGAGAAAAGTCATTGCCATTCCTCTCCGTCTCACAGTGACCAGCTATAGAGAGGTTACGTTGGGGAATAGCAGACATCTTCAAATCAAATTACTGTCGAACAATAACACAGCAAGAGCGACTCAAAACCCGGCCGCAGCGGAGCAAGAACGACCGGCGCCCTCAACGGGAGGTAAGACCGTTACTGATAGAGGGAAGAGTTGCTTGCCTTGTGTGTAACGACTACTACTACGTCCTGCAAGAGCGTTTCGAGTAAGGCGAATGAGGCGAGCGAGACACATACAACACATCCTCCGAACTACATGACGTGATAACAACTGAATTACGTGGGCCGTACTAAACATTCTGCCAGGCCTTAACTCATACACAAGATTGCGATTAGTAGCTTGCGATGGATATATGACGGCAAGAGGGACCGCAGGGTAGTACGGAATGCGAGACAAGCAGATAAGGAGGTTACCACCACCCCCTCGTAATACTGAAGCTTTCACACTGACGGTATGTGGATTGATACTGTGCCGTGGGACTGCTGTTGGATACCATGCTGGATTCACATCCATCGTGAAACTTGACGAGCTCGCTACAGCATCATCTCAAACGATGCTGGTTGGCGATTCCGATTGAGGACAACAAAACAATGATGAATCGACGTAGGAGGGAAGTAAGCCAGAAACGGTGGTCTCGGAAACCAATAAAATAAACTTGATTTCCTCGGTATCACACCTGGGCTAATCAAGATGATGCTTCATATACCCAATGTCTTATAGACCGGCTCAGTGAATGCTGCATCGTAACTGTTACTCTTATGTTTGGGGACGAACTTGAATCCCTGTGGGGCCGGACAAATCAACAATTCCGAAAGTCGTATCCAGTCTTCAGAATTGCTACTCGCCATCAACGTCTCAAGATCATTACGACCCATATACCGAGGAGGTCGCCAACCGATCTTCATTGGTGTCATACCTTGCATCAATCCAAGGGGTATATACCGATACAGGAAGCTGAGGGCCTCCAAGAGGAATCGTCTCGTGCTCTCGACCCCTCTCGTGTCGGTTCCCCAATGGGTAAGACCGTATGATACAAAACGCTTGAGGAGCTCCAAACGCTCAGCACTGGAGATATCCCAGTCCCGGTGCTCCTTTATCTCGGTGAATATCCACGGCTTGATCAGAGCTCCTCTGCCTATCATTAAGCCCTCAACACCGGGAGTCTGACGACGGTCATAGAAGGATACGTGTCAACAACGCTGTCGATTGTTACCTCCATCCTCTCGATAGCCTCTCGCCAGTCAATGATATCACCACAACCTACTAAGGGGACTGCGTTACCTGCATACACAGGACGCTAACGTTTAGAAAGGATCAATATCGGACATAGATATGGAGGCAAAGTTGATCTAGATTAGTCTTGACATGAACACTGTTCATGACCAGCGCTAGGCTCCCCCTACCAGGAACGGCAGAATCCATAGCAGTGCGACACTTAGTGTGGAAGGTCCAGTCGGCTGGTCGACTATAGCGTTGCTGAGCTGTTCTACCATGAAGTACCACGCCATCAACACCAGAACTTACAGCACGGGCAGCAACCTAAGGGAACCCGGGTTCGATCCCCATCGACGGTACTTCAACTCCCCGCTGCGACCGACCTTGTCATAGACATGGTTCTGTCCATAATGGGCAGTGCGGATCTTGACTGTTAGATTCTTATCATATGCATGACAGACCTTAGCCATCGAGCTCATCACTCCTTCAGCCTTACCCAGACGTGTCATTAAAGCCGACCCCGCACCCTGAGCACCAACATGTAATGTAGTAGTAATAGCAGCTTCGAGTATGGGGTACGGTTACCTTCTTATGGAGGCCCTCCAATGGACAACCCATGTTGATGTCGAGAAAGTCGAAGTCATCCATCTCCCGGCACAGCATTTCAGCACATCGGCTCATCATATCGGGGAAGCCTCCTGCAACCTGAGTACTAATGAATAAATAGAACAGTTTCATGGCGCGGTGACGGCTAACTTGTATGCCGAATATCTTCTCATCGGGATGCTTCTTTAGAAGAGCATGTTCGGCTCGGTTGCCCTTCAGCAGCGATTCCGCGAGGGCCATCTCAGATACGGTCACCTAGCCGTGTAAATTTGTCGTTCGCGGGATTCGAACCCTAGACCTCACCTCACAACCAAGACTGACACACAGTCGTCTAAAAGGGAGATTCCCTACTGTCGTCAACGGGGCGAGCATCGGAGGCCGTCCTGAAATGATGGTTTACAATCGACCTAGCCTGCAGACGATGTAAAAATGCACAATAGAAGGCCAAACTCACCGTGGATGAGTTTGGAGAATGGTACTCTCTCCTTTACACCCGGCCCCACTGGGCCTATTCTCTCCACCACTTTCTTGTTGAGCGCAGCTTTCGAGCCAGGGAAAACATACCTAGTGATTTATGATGATGAGCACGATGACTCTCAAGGTCGTCGGATAGGAGAATAGTAGTTGCGGAGCGAGCGGAGGATGTACTACAACAAAAGTCACTCCGCGCTATGCGTGCATGCGTCAATGAGTGCATGAGTGAGTGCATGCGTGTGTGATGAATTATTTTGCAATAACCACGGCGAACTCCATGAGACGAGCGAACTATCAATAGATTCCTTTGTATCCAGAGATACGCATAAAATACAAAAGACACAATAGTTGCCGGAAAGATCGGGCTATGAACGGTAAAGACGCGACAGTGGCGCACGACCGCTCAGCGATGGATAAGCGAGATCTGCCCCTTCCTCACGAAGTCCTAGTTCAGAGTCCTCGAACGGAGGCAACGAGAATCGAGACTTCCAAGTTGGATAGTGTGGCCGCAGTGGAGAATCATTCGCGAAGCTTCTGTATAACGGTTGTTCACGGCTGATTGTTACCATCACTCTAGGTTGTCGAGGAAAGAATCAATATGAACGAAATTGCAAACGAAATTAAGATCGTAGTCAGTAACCGAAGATCGAGACTGGTCATTAGACCACGAGTAATATACTCTATCAAACTCCATGGGTAATCCGGGCATCCACTGCGAGACTATACCACTAAAAACTTACTTCTTTCCTCTGAGGTCTAGTCTGAGCTGGTGAGTAGTGGAATTGAGGACGAGGGAGTCCAGTTCCTCCCCTGGGCCGTCGGTAGGCCCAGTAGCTTCACCGTGTGTACTGATGATGTCCACTGGCGAACCGTCTTCTAATACTGAGGAATACCAGCCAGAAAGGATATGATCAGTCGATAGGCGAATTGTGAATACTTCGAGGATAAGCTACTGTATTGGAGTAACATTTGTATTGATGTATTGATGTAACAGGCTTGGAGACTAGGGTTGTTGAGTATATAGGTATGATTTTAAGGATGAACCCTCATAAGACGAGTCCGATGTTACTCACCTTTAGTGTGACTGCCAGCCATCCTACAGTTGAGACCAAAGGGACACCTACCATGCAGTAGGCTTGGGAAGGGGCACTCTCCTGGGAGGTCATCAGGCTTCTAAAACGACATTATCAACAGTGAATTGGAGAGGGGGAATCGACACATAGGAGGAGGAGGAGCTACAGGAGGAGGAGGAGTATCAGAGTAGCCTGGAACCGGTGTTCATGGGTACTCATTGCTGCTCGCTACCTCCTTCAACGGCTCGACTAAGTATTCTAGAACTATGGGCAACATCATCGAACAGTTCGCTCCTCCGCTGAATATTTATATGTACTCTATAGGGAAGAGTCCTCAAAGAATAAGAAGAATGCCCCTCCGAAAGTATAAGACCCCCCTCAGCCTACCTCAGCCCAGTATGCCTTCACATCATGATTGAACTTACATTCATCACCAAAGGCACATCGACCTCCACGTGCAACAACCACACATAGTTGCCGGTTGTTATTGATAACATTCAAATTATCTTTCCTTTCCGACGTCTTGTTCTGTCCATGTTTTCTCCTCTTCCTTTTTCCTCCATGCTCCTCGTCTCCTCCAACCTCCTCAATCGATTCCCCACTATCCACTGGCAACTCCTCATCCACCTCCTCAGGTCGGTCCAGTAAGAGGTACTCCCTCAGAATCGGTGCCTCATGGCGAGCGAGGGCATCCTTAGCCCAATCAGGTGTATCGGGAGACTCCAACGGGTTGGTCATGAATGAACTAGTACAACACTCCCAACAATCTCTATTCGAATGTAACCAAAAGGCCAGCATGCACCCACAATGCCCTATACCCTTTGGATCACGACTTGGTATCCAGCTCAAGGCCTTCAACTATGGTCTGTCTGTGGAGTTATCTTATACCAGTTATACTCATCCAGGCAGGCATACTATTATCACTACAACTCAAGTGAGCAATGATACGCACATCAACAAGAGCATTAAGAGGACACGACTCATGAGCCCAAGTTACTCATCCTAGAGAACACGGATTGGAAGCGAAGTCGACCGACTCGATCGTCATAAGTCAGAGATCCACTCGTCGTTGGTACCTGATGAATATCATGAAGAAAGCTTTGGAAATCTCCTGCGCGCGCACCTTGAAGGCTGCTCTCATCGAAGTGGTCCTCCTGAGTGCCCTTCTGACCATCCCTCTCACTTCGGCCATACCATCATCCTTTTCGTCTCGACAGCGGAGCGATGCATGAGTTGCACATTTCTGTATCCTCTTTTCTCGAGTATCTGCAAACACCATCAATAATACATAAGAGGACCTCTGACTTCGACACACCACTCCAACAGACATTAAAAAGCGAGGGACATACCAATTCCCTCTTCCAGTGGCTCAATGGTATAAGTGTACTGCACAATGACGTACGATGTATACTTTACAACAACTTACCCAATGCGTGTTGGTATCGCCAATATCTACACACCTCACCGTCCTCAACTGGAGGACCCCTGGCCGGTGGTAGAGTGAGGTGATCTACGTCCGATCCCGTACTATGATGATAGAGCCGAAGACGGACCATCTCCCTCTGAGATGAGATAGGCGTCGAGAGCGGACCACCACATAGTAGTAGTAGTACCCCTCTTATATCTAATAGTTTGCCTTCACTCAAAGCAGGCAAGTCCCTATTAATCTGCCCTGCATCGACAAGCCTCATCCGCATATCCTTAGACATACCGCATGAATGTGGTAGGACCTCCGTCACCCGGCGTCGGAGACCCTAAAGATCACCACACTGCCCAAGCTCACTATGCAATTCAATAGGGCCTCCAATTACACTCATTTCAAGATCGTCCAGGGAAATGACTTAAGAATTTAGGACTAGTCATAGCATTATTTCTGACTATAAACCAGTCATTATAGGATCGACTTACGAGTACACATGGAGTGATCGAGAGAAGTAGTAGCGATATGTATATACCCAATGGTAGGGCCCAGAGTGAGTAGTAATACTGATAAGACCCCATTACATGTGGGAAGGTGAAGTGATGAGTAGCTATCCTCATTAGATATCCCATTATTGTTGGATGGGTACCGTCCACATACCTCAACTCGATCAATGCACTGAATCGATAAGGAACTCATAGCTCAGCATGAAGCCATAAACCTCCTCCTACACAAGGATGATGGCAGCCCTCTGTGCTGCTCTCTCATTATCCTTCCTTGTAATATGACTAGTAGCCTTACCCCATCGCATGAGACCCTTTAATAACCTCATGGCCGCTCCTGGCTTCGACGATGCCACATCTGGACAGAGGGGAGTCGATACCTTCGAGGTCTCTCTGGGTTGACTAAAGAGGAGCAAACGTGGTTCGGTGAAAAATACGATATGCGCGTGGAGGACTTCGAAGATTTCCATATCTGCTATCCCAAACCATGCACCCGGCAACCAACAGACAAGCTCACTCCACAATAGGCCACCGTCACCGCGCCATGAAACTACTCGTCCACCAGGACTTACACGGTCCTCTGATATTCCTGGACAGCCTTAACGAGAGTGTCCGGTAGAGGTAGGCCGAATCGATGGACTTCCAATAGAGCAGTATACAGTGGTTCGGTAACATCCAGTGTGGTCATCTGAACAAAGGATCGTCGATTTAGTGACACTCTCTGGGTTCTTCCATGGCATCACTTACCAGATATGCTATGAAAATATCGTCCAATATGTGCCTCACTTCATGAGTTGATACTACTGGGAGCTCTCCAACAGGCTCAAAAATACTGACAATGCGAACAACATAGTGAACCTATTCCATATCTTACACGCTCAACCTGAGGATATTACCTCGCCATTATAGCTGTATTAGGATCACTTGTAGAGACGTAGGTGAGGAAATCATTGAAGCCTACACCCAATCTGGTCTGCAACTGTAAAATGAAGTCATCGATTAGTATGTTAGCTGATATCGCGGCCCGCCTCTTAGACACCTATACACCCTCAATGTGAGCAACAAGCAGACGAGTGTGGCATCCTTGGGCGATTCCAATCTCCCTACCTTATTCGCTAGAACCGAATCACCTCCAACATCTACTGTTTCTCTCATCATTACTGTCAAGAGGCCATCTAGGAATCTTCTTAGACTACACATGTCATAATCGACCTCACACATGGCCGAATGTAGCTTTAATAACCACTCTAGCTTCAATCGCATCAACACCTATCACACACTTCACCATAAGCTCTACACCGATACACCCAGAGCTCATGAGACGGCGGTCTTGATGGACTTACATGTGGTAGATACCGAGTGTGCTCGATCTCAATCTCATCTTCCATCCAGCAATGAGCAAACCTCGGACACAGCATAAGTATGAACCGTGGTACCCCGTTATATACGACACAGTTCGTGTCTGCGTACGATACCACTTCTGCCCGAACCACCGGTGGGAATGTAGGAGAGCCTCCATAGTCCCCTATCGTCTGAGAAAGTAATACCACAATGAGAGGTCAACCACGACTCCGGATGAAAACGTAAAGATTGTAACTCATTGAAACTTCACTCGTATTATCCACCAATCCTAATACATACAAGAGGATCGTCTCTTGTGACTCATAAGCCAAGCTTGCTCGGAAGGCACGCGCTGCGCGTTGGTTGAGGAGCAGCATAAGGAGTAAAGCTCTCTAATGACTTAACAACGAGCAGTATATACTCAAGGTGCCATGACAATGACCTCTCTCCCGTCGACTCTATTTTTGTGGCGCGTGACGATGATAAGCCTACACCCTATTACATTATCCCATTCCCCTGGTTTGGTGACTACCATAGCCTTCCTCACGCGGATACTCACTCGATATGGTAGTCGAACGCGATAAAGGGTAGTAGTATCGATACCCCATGACCAGACGTTACCGATGTTATTAACCAATTTTGTTACCTCTACATATCTGATAATGGACCAATAAGGAGTATATCAATAACACTCCTTCATATATGGTACAAGGATTATAGTTAGCTTATCAGTTGGAATAAGAGATAAACAACATGGTCATAATCCTAGACATCGTCCCCAAGGAATATTACAATTCATCAACACTCTGTATTGGGGGTAAGGATACCCTCTGCAGATAACTAGGGCAATCGAAGCGGCCAATATACCCCTCTGGCATTTTAGGACAACATCATCAACTGATCATACCACACCCTCATCGAATCATGAGATCACACATGATAACCGGTTGGATTGAATTGAACGCTTGAAGCTATAAGACGGAGTAACTGAGTGATACACCAAGAGCATAACATTTGCAGGCTCTGACGACGCCTCGAGAGACATGAACACGACCTGGTATGATGACTATATATGACAGAAGGAGGTATCTGACCTCAACTGCACCTTACTAATACCAACCTTACTCTTCTACCTTCTACTGAATCGCCGGTTGAATCCGAGAGCCGAAAGGGTGCCAATATCTCTAACAATTGCCTGAGAAGCTAAATAAGTGTATATAAGGTAACCGTAAGACGGTTCCAAAAATTAGTGGGCTTCATGTACTCGGAGGAACCTACTACATGCCTTCACACGCGATTTAGTGAAGGAGATAAATTGCAATCCTGCTCACACGATACGATTGCATCCCCGATGAGACGCGGGCCAAAACTCTACGAGAGACTCTACCACACTTCCCTCTCCTATGGGAATAGTACTTGGATCGACTCTGGTATAGTCTACGATGCTCAATGATATGTGAAGGCATTATAGGCTCCCAACGTCTATGCCATCTATCCAATCTATAGTCTAAATGCCTGTATGTCCTCCCTTCTGGCATCATTGTCTGCCGCATAGATAACCTCCTCCTCCTAGCTACACCTTCGATAATGAACCTATAGCAAGAGAGCAGCTGTTGTAGTCGATGATAGCAGGGTCCACTAGAATATGAGCATGGTATATACTACTACAGGTGAGTGATGTCGTAGAAACTCATGCCAATACTTAACACGGATGATAATTGTACGTATTCATTTTCGAGCGACTGTTCAAGTTGGATACTGCAGGGATCAATACGAGGCTTACTCAGGACAATGCGACATACAAGATGAGGAAAAATGGTAGAGTAGCTGAGCCAAAAATGCTCATAAAATTATAATCGGAAAGGACCAAGACCACTGCTACTATAACAGTATCAAGACTATCCCACCTACCTGTCCTCCCGAGTCAATCGGTCGGTAGTGATGTAGGCAGCCATCCGAAGAGAAGACGGAGACGCACCTCAACAGGGCTGGTGGAATTCATAATGCGCGCGAGGTCAACACTATCTCAGGTTCGATCCCGGCACCATGCGCTTTTCCAGCAATTATTCAGTTGCGACCACATGGCTTAGGGACTGCATTAGCAGTGTTAGCACGTCAGTATACCTTCTTCCTCGTCTCCATACATCTACCTTATGGCTACTAGCTCCCTTTCTCAACTACCCGGCAAGGACCAAAGCCTTTTTCGACAGGTAATGCTGTGAGGGGGAGGAGGGGGGAGGGATCATGTCTATTTGTAGATGGTGCGGTATTACGAAACTAAGCAATATAAGAAGGGCATCAAATGTGCCGACCAAATACTGAAGAAGAATCCGAAGCATGGGGAGACTGTTTGCATGAAGGCATTGATCCTTTCCTACGTTAATCCTGATGATAAAAAGGAGGCTTACGAACTGGTCAAACAGGGGCTGTTCTGCGACCTTAAGAGTCACGTTAGTTGGCATGTGTAATACCGTAAATTCGTCACATCATTGGAGCATGATTCATGAGTAACAGGTACGGTTTGATGCACAGAGCCGACAGGAACTACCAGGAGGCCGCTAAATGCTACAAGAATGCTCTCAGAATTGATCCAGAGAATCAACAGATCCTGAGGGACCTTTCAATGCTACAGGTAATGAGTTTCCGTCGAGGAGTGTTGTAATACATGGATCATCGTATCAGCTATACCAAAGGGATTTGGAAGGTTATACTGAGTCGAGGCGTAAGCTATTGTCCTTAAGATCATCACAGAGGATCAATTGGATGGCGTATGCAGTAGGAGAGCATATGCTTGGCAACTTTGATGTAGCTAAGACCCTTTTGGATTCCTATAAGAAGGTAGTGTATGGTCGTGTCGGGGAATAGGACTATATTGCTTTTCACTGGTGAGGGCGTTCTATATTCTGCCTTGATCATCTTTTGTTGGAATTTGCCGATGCCGGTCAGCGGTCCTACCGGGGCCCTTTCGGCAGCTTTTCTATCAGAATTTCGCCGCCGAAGTGTCTGAGGATGCCGACTCGAAATACGAGCAGTCAGAACTCTATCTGTACCAGGTATTTGTTATCTAGTTTGTCTTTTGATAAGACTCTTAGCATTTTTCAGGCTTCACTCTTGGAGCAGGGTGATGAACCTCAGGAGGCCCTAGACCTATTGGAACAGCATAAGAAGTAATAACTCTCTTGAGGTTGTAATTCCTCGACAATACTCGTTGAGGTCTCTACCAGTGAACAATTGACGATTGGTCTTTGACCAAAGCTGTCAGAGCTTGTTGATGTTGGGGGTGATTCGTCCCACTCACTTGTAGTATTGTTCTCTTACTCAGAGAGATCGTGGACGGTACGACGAGATTGGAGAGTATCGCTCGCTTATCGATGAGCTTGGGCAAGTTGGATAAGGCTGAGGCGGCTTTGAAGGAACTCATCCTTGACTACAACCCGGAACAAGAAAGCTACGTTCTTGCATGGCTCAGTTGTGTTGACGAAGGGAGGTAATACTGGGAGAATAGTGTAATGGTGGAAGTCGTAGCTGTCTCGAGGATGGCCGCTGGGTCGAGTCCCTAGGATAACATTCTGTATTCTTCAGATTTTCTACTTTCTGGCCTAACATTACATCTAAGGAGTGTTGTTGGCCGGTGAACTCTGGCCTCCTCCCTAAGGGTGGTGCTAGGGTAAGTCATCCGGGTTCGATCCCTAGTCGGGGCATTTTCGACAAGCGTATTTGCAGGTTCGTGGCTGGCTGCCGAAGCCTGAAGACAGAGAGATGGCTGCGGCCGTGGAGGTCGAGCTTGCAGCAGAACTGAATGCTGGCAAGAAAAGTAGTGCCGACTTGAGCGCTCACGTATCCTACTTGATAGGACCTTGAATATGTTTAGGTATACTCGTGAAAGGGGGTTGTAAAGCACTCTATCGCCCGATGAGGGATCTCACCATAGAGGAAGAGCAGGAAGTGTTGAAGGCACTTGATGGCCTCAATGCTCAAGTGAAGAAGGAAACAGGTACGCTCTGGCGTGGTGCTCATCCTCTAGCGGAGCGAAGCAATGAGCGTTTGCTCGTCTTTTCAGGTTTCGCCTCCGCGACCATCACAAAATGCGTACTGCTGTTTCTGACTGGTGAGCGTTTCGAGGGTAGACTGAAGGAATACGTTACTAAGCTCCTCTGCAAGGGGGTACCCTCCACCCAGAAGTAATGCTAGGGAATATTTTCACAGCATTATGGGCTACCCTCAGGCTACTCCGTGTCTTCTATAAGCAGAGTTCCAGCAAGCAGTTGAGCGTTGATCGTATATTGCGACAATGCGTGGCAGAGGGCGAGGAGCTGATGGCATCAGCTCAAGCTCGTTGTGAGGCAGCTGCCGAAGTGCCCAAGGTTAGAGCGGAGATATCCAAATACCCACCTACTTATGCTTGCTTCGCCTTCCTGTTGATGGCTAATCATCTCGATCATATTGGGAGCTTCGAGGCTGCAGTAATAATAGTGCCTACTTGGTAGAGGGAGGTATCTTTCGTGTATCTTACAACAGATGAAGCTAATCGAAAGGGGTATGGAGGTTAGCCCAACTTGCATCGACCTATACGTATCGGCATCTAAGATGTAGTATCATATCTTGGAAACGCACTGTGAAGAATGTTTCATCTTAGATTAAAACATGAAAAGCGTTTCGATGAGGCTGCAGAGTATATGGACAAGGCTCGGAAGATGGATCTGGCCGATAGACAATTGAACACATTGAGTGTGAAGGCACAGCTCAGGAAGGGTGACATAGATACGGTAATATATGGTAATCGTCTCGGTCGTCATACCACTCCTCTCGTAAATCATTACCAGCATGTAGTCTTTGCACCTACGTCGTTCAATGTTGTAGGCCCACGCCCAGATGATGCTGTTCGCGAAAGAGAATGATACAGCGAAGACATCAAACCTCTACGACATGCAGTGTATGTGGTGGGAGATAAGAACTGCTATGGTCAGTAGTGTAGATGGGTTTAGCGGAGCGAAGCGATATTTGCTTATTTTGGTCAGCTATACGAATCTCGAGAGGATTACAGTATGGCTTTGAAACGATTCAATGACGTATTGAAGCAGTTCGATGACATACGAGACGATCAGTTCGACTTTGCCACCTACTGCATGCGGAAGATGACACTCCGGACGTGGGCATCATCATCGTAATAGGAGAGTACTGTGGCTGTGATCAGGTTTGTGGAGTTCCTAAAGACGGAGGATAGCCTTGAGCAGCATATCTACTATCGTGAAGCGAGTGCTGGTATGATAAGGTGTTATACTAAGTTGATGGATAAGAAGGAGGCAGCAGCAGCAGCAGCAGCTGCAGCAGCTAAGGCAGAGAGTGAAGAGAATAAGGAGAATGGATCTAAGGTAATGCTATTACTGCTAGCCATCCATAGTAGTTATCTCGGATGTGTTCTCGCCCAATGAGGATTCTGAAGTGGTGTAGTAGGATAGAAGTGTGTCGATGATGTCATTTGGACAGGGTCATCTCTGATGGGGTTGAGATAGTATTAGTAATGAGAGTTAATACTCTGCAGTTATCGGCAGCAGAGCGGAAGCGTCTGAAGCACCAGAAGAAGAGAAAGCAGCATGATCAGCATCCGACCACGACCCAGGATAACTCCAAAAAGCTTGAGGGTGGGATTGGCGGAGGCTCCAGGTTCGATTCCCACGCCTTGCATTTCTCAGGAGCATTCGGCATGAAGGCAACGGGTCTTACTATGGAAGAAGAGAGAGCCAAGGGTGACGAGCTTGTTGCGGTTGCTGATCCTCTTGATAGATGCATGCACATCTGTGAAGTACGGGGTACTCGTAGACTACTGTACTAACTGCTGCTGCTGTTGCTGTTGCAGGTCTTATCAGAAAAGTGTGCAACTTGGCTTGAGACCCAGTCCCTCTGTTTCGACGTATCAATCCGACGTAAGAAGTGGTTACAATCCTTAGCTTGCCTCCAACGGATGAAAGCTCTTGGAGCATCATCGATTGAGGAGGAGACAAGGAGACTATCCGATGCAGTAGCTAAAATTGATGATAATGGGTTAGAGGGTGTGACAGCTGAGGTATTCAAGGAGGATCTTAGTGCTCTCTTGTAAGCTCGTCATCATCATCATCATCATGCAGGAGGGGGGTTCTTAGCAATGATGTGTTTCTCGAGTCTTGCTGCTCATACCGATTATGGTAACGGTTTCGAGCTATCAGCTTGTTCAAATAGTAACACTGTCTCTATCACTACTCATTCCTCGTTGCTTTGTTAATGTGCCCGGGCTGATAACGCTGATATAAACGAACTCGTCGTTCGGCATGCAACTTACGTTGGTACGGGATATTGGATATACCAGTCTGGGATGCGGCCTCCCTTTTGGGTATTGAAGTTGAGAGACTTCGAGTGCGATTACGTTATTACTTCCTCTAGTACTTATGCCTCCATTATTATATCCAAATGTATACTACTTTATTGTCATACCGATGTGGATGGCAATGAGCAACGATCCCGCTTGCGAGCTATGTGAGTCGCTATGTCTCATTAACAAAGGTTTATGGTGTTATGTTTTCAGCATCCGGCAAATGTGAGCATCGGTCCTGCTCATTGCTACCGGAGGTGCCCAAAGCTCAATTTGTTGGAGTGAGTGGCTTGTCGCTCTCTAGTGACTGGGCATCATCATTTAGGATCAACCGCCGGGTGGTGTGTTTGCTCACGAAGCCGTGGCCGAATATGCATGTGACGAAGGCCACACTGCTGATGGTCTCGTTCTTGGTAGGCTGTGTAGCTATAAGAGATTGTCTCAGTGTCGGTACAGGCCCACGGAGGGTCCTTTATCGATGCCATATTGGTGGTAACTTCCGTCCTGTGAGAGTTGACATAACAGAATGTACGGAGAGGGGCAAGATTGAATCGCCATGTATGTTCTTGGTGTTCTTTCTTCGTCAGGCAAACCAGTGAAATGCGGAGCTCCTTTCGAGCTACCAAATGCGTATCCAACATCACACAAGATCGGAGAGTCGGTCGTGTACCCGCAAAAGGTGAGGTATCCGCTTGGAACTACACTACCATCAGGAAGTCCTTAGGTTGATTATACGTGTAACGAGCATACTACGGCAAATGGAGAAGATGACGGACCGAGTAAGATAGGGAGAGAAAGTGACCCCGGCCCGATTCGAACGGACAACCTTCTGATCTGGAGTCAGATGCGCTACCGTTGCGCCACAGGGCCTTATGATATATTTATCCCGGAGTATGTCTGTTCTCATTCAGAAACGATAAGTATCCAATGTGGTTCTGACGGTAAGTTCCATCCTTCCTACCCCCTACCTCGATGTCAACCCATACACTGTGGCGAGTTTCCCAGCATAGCCAATGCAGAGCCTGTGAAACACGTTAGTAATTTCAAGCATTCTTCTTATCAGTACTTTCCTCTATTCGCGCGCCTCAGATCCCACCCGTGTTGCTGAGGGCCAGAGTATAGACTTTGTCTGTTTGGACGGCTTTACTGAGCAGACCATGGGTTTTGAAGTTAAATGCATCAATGTACGTTAAGGAATGATGTGATCACTATGAACTTGTAATGAATTGTCAGATTGATGGTCACGTGCATTGGGATGTCCCCCTCCGATCGCCATGTAATACCTCACTTGTCTCTACTCGCTTCCTATTCCGTTACTATTAGGTATTGCACGGAAATGTGGACAACTCGAGCGATTCGATGATGCTCACCAGACCCACTTTGGAAAGAACATGACTTACCGTTATCCATCGAAAGTCCCTTTTGCATGTGAGCACTCTCAAGTAGTAGTAGCATCCCGACGACAGTAGGGAACTATGAAAGGTGCTCCCGGTTACGCTCTTGGTGGGGACAAGACTCGGCATCAGTTTACTGCTGCTTGCACCATAACTGGTGTATGGGAGTATGACAGAGGGAGTGATCGATGCGAGCCGGTCATATGTGGTAATGAAGATACCCTGCCGCCGTTGCCCTGCTCATAGTTTAATACTACTTACTGCTTAGGTGATATCAACGATGTCCCCAAGGAGATGAAGCAATTCGCCACAGCAGTTATAACAACAAGGGTAGCTGCTTCTGGTGAACAGTGCATAAGCTTATTGTCTTACTCTTAGATACTACGGCTCGGTGAAAGAATGGACTTTGCCTGTGATGAGGGTGATATTATTACTACCATTCTTGGAATGTAAAGGTAGCCTTGTGTCGATCAGGAGCCTATGTTGCGGGCACCAATAGGGAACACAGCACATACACCATCCAATGCAGTAGCTCGGGAGACTTTCAGTGGGCTCATGGATATACCTCCGGATGTGAGCCACCCTCCTATATCTGACCGTAGAATGATCCCTGTCAAGGCATTAAACCTTGTGGGCCTCTATTACCAATCAAGAACGGTAGATTAACATACCCACAAGGCGTGAGTCCAGGCGATATTGTCGAGAGCCCGACCACAGTCGTGTACATGTGCAGTGAAGGGCACACTCTAGGTGCAGCTGGGGGATGCCATATCGAATTCTAGAGAGTGTTTTCAATCCAGGTGGAAGAGTAGAAGGGGAGGTTAAGTTCGAACAGCAATGCCATGCAGACGGGAATCTATCCCCAGAAGCCCACCCACCTCCATGTGAGCTCGTCGTAAGTTATCATCATAACTATCACAACTGTTGCTACTGATAACATGCTGGTAATGACCTCAGAAATGCGGTCAAGCTCCTGAGGTCCCTCATGGGGAGGTATCACAGGCAAGTGGACCTAAGATATTCACCTACAAGGATGAAGTGAAGTACACTTGTGAGGAGGGCACTACACATAATGGCCTGGCCATGGCTAAGGGAGGAAAGGCAACGTTGCTCATCACATGTAGGTGCTGCTGCTGCTGCTCGTCGTCGTTGTCTTCTCCACCTACTCCTACAGTCATCACTCTTCTGCATATTATCCTATTCAGGTGGGATCCATGGTTGGGGTATCAGAGACAGTGATCATGGTGATTGGTTATCGAGGTTGCAGCCTCCCTTAGCATGCACTCCTCCAAGGTGTGCACAAAAGCTACCTGATATAGTCAATGCGGTAGTGAAGTTGAATGATGGTGATGTTGATAGTGTACTCATATAAGGACTCATAGGTACCAAGCACAGGCTACAATGCCGGCGATAGGCTACTCCTGAATGATAGTGTGGACTATAAATGCAATCTTGGTTATACACCTAAGAAAGAGGTCAACAGGGAGAGATGGTGGTGGTGGTGGTTCATGAGAGGATACTTGAACTTCCATGAACAGTCTGCGAAGAGATGATTACGATTCTTATTGTCCTTAGGGCCGCCGGACTGGTACCATCTCGTGCAGTACAGAAGGCGATTTGGAAGTTACAATGGACGACTTTGAATGTGTATGGGATATATTCGTTCTCTACCATGTATGTTATTATCATCATAGGTCCCTTTGGTTTGCCCCCTTCTGCCTACTATCATGTACCATGGTACACTACTTGGTCCTGCAGCACGAGAGGCTTACAATGCAACTCCAAGTAGTGAGTTACTTATATCTTCCAAGCCTGTATATCTTATATATCATAGGAGTTTACCAGTGCCCCGATCGATGGACCCCCGACAAAGTCTCAGTCCAGTGTGGAGCTGATGGTCACTATCACACAGTTGGGCCCAATAATTTCCAAATAGGCGATCCACAGACCACACGGTAAGGCATTCGATGAGATAAGTTACGATGATGATGATATCAATCAGTTACCCCATGTGCCAACCCCCGAGATGTAAGGCTTCTGATATCCCAACCGACTGGGTAAAGGAGGCAGCAACAAGTAACTCCATACACAGCAGCTTCCCTCAGGCTCATATCTCAATACGAAGTCGTCAACAAACAGGAGACTTTATCTCGGGAACTTCATACAAGGTTAAATGCCAACAAGGATTCGGTACACTAAAGATCGCCAATACGTTACCGGTTCGATGCAATGATAATTCCCAATGGGAAATTGACGGGAATCCCGAGGAGTATAGTAACGATGGATTGATAGGATGTAAGTGCATGATGTAACTCGTTAGGATAATGCTTATGCAGGTACTGAGGCTTTCACTGGGACAGGCGAATATACACCAGAAATATGGCCACCTCCTGTCCTCTATAGTTGACAACATGATAATCGAACGATCATCGACGTATTCATATTTGGGGTTGCGTTGATTCCAATCATCACCGAACATGTCGACATCTCATGGGAGTGGATAGTCGATTGATAAAACGACGAGTGGGGCTTCCTTTCCCATCATCCCGTATTCGAGAGGAGAATGGAGTGCATCATTCTCCACCTACCACCCTCTCGGAAATCGACGACTCAACATTAAAGGGTAAACGGATTCGGTAACGGATTTTAATTTTTCGTTAACAACATATTTCATAATACCTTAGGACGACTCCCATTAAGGATTGAAGAGTAATGGCAAGTAATCGAGTGATCCATTTACAGCAATTTACCTTATGTTTCGACTGTAGCAGGGGAGGGCATGATGTACTCCATTCGGTCAAGTAGAGCCGCCAGCTGACACTCCGAGAGACACACGTCACAACACTAACCCCGGATAATTTATATATTTCATGTAAGCAACCACGGATGATACAACACTAGAAGGCAATCGTTGTCCGGTCATCGGTTGCGTTTAAGGGATCGATGCAAAAAGAATCCATTTATCACAGAATCGATCACCACCCATGAGTGGAAACGATGGATCTTAAGGTTAGTACCCTCACCACACCATGAGCTTGAGAAACCCTAACAACGTTATACCAGTCCCTCAGCCTCAAGTGTAAGTTTGATAATAATCCGGTACCCATCCCATACCTGTGCTCATCAGTTCCTCTATTGTAGGAGTTTACCGTCTAAAAGCTCTATAATTACTGTCACACCTCTAGTCTGTGATAGATCACCACGCATAGCGTATTATATCAGATAGTAGTGTAAGAGTCCGCTTGATAACAACAATACGACAAACAGCAACGTCGATAACCACAATAGAAGGGCCCATTCTTGGCGAGTGAATACATTATTTCACCAACATCAGCTTCGCGTTCAGCATATATTATCTCTCTCGACCCGACTCTGCTAATGGCTATGATAACTATAACGCAACGAGTAGAAGGAGAGGGGAAGGAACATAAAGCAACGTCAGAAATCTGGTATTTGGTACAAACTAATTCTGAGTCGCCAACTTGATATCAACTCATGAATGTAACTAGAAATGCCACCACTATTATATATACTCATAAGATCCTTTTGCCATCTCTCTGACGCCCTTTGATGGGAAGTCTCCTCGGGATACCACCAGGGATGCTTACTGAGGTCGAACACTACTACACATGAGACATGAGTATTCCTTACGCTCTTATCCGATCCAATGCGTCAAATATCTCCTTATTCCGCAGCTTCAACTCACTGTTATCGGCATTCTCTACCATACCATTGTCAATTAGCTTTTGAAGTACTCCCTTTGTAAAATGCTGACAGCATCGATCAATGGTCATTCCTCCATCGACCATAAGACCATTATCAATTTGTCGAGTAGATTCCCAAACATCGGCAAGGCTAATATTATCCCCCTTGGACTCGTACTCATGTCCCTCTTCATTAAAGTTCTCCCAGAAGGCTCGATATCGGAACCATACACCACCATCAGCCGTCTTATCTAGTAACAGTTGAGCTCCTACACCTGGACACCCCTTCTGACAGGCCCCACGATATTTCCGATCAGTGTAGTCTGTATCGAAGGCTATCACAGTATGTCGAGCCCCCATTAACCATCCTATCATACCAAGCTTTGCTGATCTTGATATCTCTCTTGCTGAGTGTACTAATGGCCAGAAATAGCTCCAGTTTTGATGATGCCATATTCCACTTAGAGTAGGCAAAGGGCCTGGTAGATAGTGTTCACAATGGACAGGGACACACTTAAAGGTTTCCTTATGATGAGTGATGGCATTGGTATACATTTCCAAAGACTTGGGTATTGGCATTTTCGTGAAGAGTTTGCCTTGATGCATGAATACTTCATGCATACCATTATAGAGTGGCCAGGAAAGGTTAATCTCCACGATCAAAGGATCGACATCTGTCGACTTGAGAGGATAACGAATGAGCGATCGAATACCTGTTACTTTATCGGGATCATCGAAATCATCACCAGTGAGATCATTCCACATTCGTCGAGGATCCTTAATCATGATCCTAGACGACGACTCTCGACCACATCCTATAATACCGCCACCCTTAGTGTACTCCTCCTCCTTATCATCACCTTTCAATGGCAAATGACGTATCTTACCCATAACTCCGGTTATACATCTCTCAAGTGCATCAATAGTATCAGAATAGAATACCACTTTATTATCATCATCATGGTCTTCTAGTCTCACACAAAGATGCCTTTTCAATGACTCAATTGATGGTAAAGGGTCAATAAGGAGTGATGCCATGCTAATGATGATGATGATGCAGTGAATAATACAAAACTGATGATGATTACGATCATAACGACGACGACGACGACGACGACGAGGAGGAGGAGGCTATGATGATGATGAGGAATGATATACACTACATATCTCCGTATTACTATAGATACCAAGAACAGCTATTTATTATGGGCTTATATCAAGTGAGAGGGTCCCTAAGAATATAGATCCTAGTAACCACTGAGGAAGAATTTAACCACGACACTGTAGAGAATGTATTAGCACAGTGTTGTCCATCAGCAGCACTCTGTAGATCGACGGATACATAGACCTCTCCTCTATAACGTAACACTCTAGCTGCGGATACGTATTGGTAATAAGTCAACCTCCCATCTGATCATCATCATCCTCATCTGCTGCTGCTGCGGGATCTATCGGTTGACCAAACTCTGAGATAATTTAATGTCGCTACTGGGAATTGAACCTGCGTCGTCCCCCTTATCACCTTGTTCCCATTTACCAAGATCCTCATGAAGTCTTATCCACTTCTCCTTAAAGACCTTGATAGCAGCCATAACAATATCCTCTGGTGGTCTAGCACCAGTAGACTCAACAGTAAAGTGTACCTTAAGGAGTGGGTAAAGCAGTAGTCAATATATCCTTCATCTTACCACATCAGTCCGTTGCTTAACGGTAATCATGCCTTTAGCTTTGAAATCATAGTTCGCTTTAGTCACACATTCATCGCAAAAACTGACAACAACCATAGTTCCCTATCATCATCATCATCATTCCTCCTGTTCTTCTGCTTCTTCCTCTTCCCTATCCTACTCGCATAGATCCTTCCTCACTACTTGTATACGATCAGCTGCATCCAAATCCAAAACCCTCTTAGGACATGACCTCACAATAGCTTTCCTTTCAGCTACTGATAGCTTCTCATACTCTATTGCTCTATCTATTGTTATCACAGGCTCGTACTGAATAACAATATTATTCGATAAGATAAGAATTCATATAATCATCATTACTCGGATAGCAACAGTGCCAGTAGGATTCCATTTAGCATGCATTTTACCAACACCCTTCCGTGCTTCCATATGCATCGTTAATTGTTGATTTCTCCGCAACTTAGCAATAACAATACCATTACGCCTCTAAGACATGCATAATGATGATGAGCAGATGAGTAACACAAATAATAGTACATTCTCCTCTTCAGTCTTAGTCCTATCCCATAAGGGTACTGGTAATGGTCTTCTTGATTCTGGTATCGATGTCCCTATTATCAATACTCATATATTAGCAGTATAACAATGTTAATGGTATTACCCTGATCAACTGGTTGAATATCTAAATGTGTTACATCAGTAACACCATGATCTTCTGCTATAACATCTAGAGTGTATCTACATTGACATTTATAATGCCTCTACTTTAAACTTTAACTCACTTAACAGTGCAGTTAGGACATGATGAGTAGCATTGACAATCCTTAGGATCACTATAACTGTCCACTTCCTTAGAATTGATAGGCAGTAACCCCAGACGATGTGCTACGAACTACATGAGAATATCTCCCATAACGACGTGATTGTCAATGATACTACCTCATCGAATAGAGGACTACTATTCTCCTCAATAGTAACCGTATCAATAGCTAATGTCGGTACCTAGGTTTGGTGATGATAATGATAAAGGAAGAGGAGGATGGCTTGGTATACATTACTACCTCGGCTATCATAATCCTTCTCAATGCATTGGCTATTGCCTGATTCGCATTGAATATAGTAAATTTAATGAGATCTGCTGTAAGCATTGTGACCTGATAATAATATAAAGATGTATTGTATGATAATGCTATTAATACCTCAATCACAGGCATAGGTGGTGGATTCTTCTTCCCAGATGATGTCATTAGGTTAACAAACACTACTAATGATATACTCATGTCAATCATGTCTGCCCAGCTTCCTCCTCCTCATCAACAGGTATCAAGATATATTCAATATCATTTACCCTAATAGAAGGTCCTGTAGCCGGTAGAAACCCTCTCTCGCTACCAAGCCTCTCGCTAGATGGCTCTGAAAGGTATATAAGGTGGACTGTAGAATAATTAGGAAGGGGGCGGGGGCAGGTGCCGATAACTTGACGAATCTACTCGAGTTCGAATGACAACGGCGCTCGCCACTTGTACAGTATAAGAAGTATAGTCGATGACGTTGAAAGCTCTATTGGGCATCCTGATCGACTCAGGATTAAGCATGATCGTGATTGGTATACCTCGATTCAACTCGTGGTCGTTTTATATTATGGCGGCCAACACATGGTGAGGTTATGGTCAATGAGAGCCCTACGGTTGTTGTTGAAGAGAGAGCGGGTAAGGGAAATAAGGATTAGGGCGATGATATTCTCCACATAAACCGTTCCAGCTGGAACGTCTACATACTGTTATAAGGACTCTATAAGCTCGACTCTTTATAGACTCTCAAGTATTGATATTCACCAATATGCATCCTACTACCCCAACATGAACAACAACAACAACATTCGAATGATTTGTGGAATAAGTCGAGTTTGCTGCACTTAGGACGAAGTCTTCATCCTACCACTGTAGCATGCTCCTGGATAAGACCGTGTATGAATAACTCGTTGAGATTGACATTAACTGAGATGATGATGCATCATTCACATGTCATCAATACATCATTATATCATCGCATCGTGAATCATACTTCTCAGGAGGAATACTAACTAAATATGATACCACTACAGCATAGATGATTGAATGAATGATGATGAGGAGGATTCCACACCATAAAGTACTATGTGACAGTTTGAAATCAACAAACGGAAGCGGGAGTTACCAATATGATAAACTGATACACAAGTTAGTGTAGTTCGTTTAATCTCGTTATCGAATGATATGTTCATTAGGAATCCAGTATGTTGATGATAGATGTGTAGTTAGACTTAGTTCGGTTCACTCGCTCACTTATAGTTAACCTCCCTACCTTTCCTAGATATAACACTCTTTCGAGAAAATAGTAGTGATGATGATATTGGGGTATATGAACTTAGCATGAGGAACTATGGTGTTGTGATAATATGCAGATGAGTCGTGATTATAGAAGATATAGTAGAAGGGATAAAACGCACCTACCTGCTATCCGAATAGTCATCACTAACTGCAAGGAATATGCAGGCCTTCAACATATACAAATGATATTGACGATGATAGTGGTGATATCTATCGAAGTCTTGACTAAAGAGTGAACAACAGCTATAGTGGATCACCGTAATGTAGACGATGATGCGGCACACATGATGCTTATGTTATTACAATAATAGCAGGATATGATTCAACCTTAAAAGCAGCGATATTGCTAGTATTGGTGGCCACCACACCTGTTCTGTTAGAAGTAGTAGCCAAACCCCAAGTCTTATATAGAGATATCCTCATTGATGGATCATCCTTATAATACTTAATATCAACAACGACAGAGCATCATAAGAGGCACACAATACAATAAATAGAAATGATGATGACTGTAATATGAGTGCATCATGATAGTACATGAATAACCAAGCCTTAATCAATCCAGGGCTGCATGGAGGTTCCGTCTATTCTCCTCTTCGATAACGATCCTTTGTATCTCCTCTACTACCTTCTCTCGTGCATGACCATGACTAATAACCTCTAATAGAATGCTCATGGCTAACTTCACGCGCCATGAAATTGATATATCGAGTACTGCGAGATAGTAACAAAGGCATTCTGAGGTAGATATGATGGTACTCTTCTTCTTTTTCGCAGCGTTGGGGATATTCCCTAAAGCACATCTTATGTTATGGGTCGATAAGGGCATTGAGCATTACAAGTTGTTCCATCATTCATGAGGTATTCCCTCAAATAAAGAAGAGATTCAATAAGGTGTGGTACGAGATGAGATCGAACCTCTTGAAGAACTCTCCTTATCTATCATCATATCGATCTCAATCTCAAGTTATCGATACTACTACTACCTCAATGGATCGATGACCATCAACATTGCATATAGCCCTTTCTATTCTTTGCTTTATGAGATCTTCTATATGAACCCTATTCACCCTAGTCTGGATAGGTAAAGTCTGCTGAGTTAAAACTATACGATAGCCGTGCTCCGTGCTGGCCTGTTGTTGGTATTCGATGCTTGACATCTAGTGTCTATAATATACCATGTTGATAATAGATTCCTCACATTCCTATTAGACTGTTGTTCTTTCTTCTCAACTGCTTTTATTGCCTTTTTCACTAGCTCTCTTCTAAGCCTCATATTATCATGTTTAACCCCACAAGTAGCATCCTTCATCACTTCAATAATAGCCTACAATGTTAACAAGATACTATATGGGTTATTCTCTCAGTGATAATGACAGAGGCTGCTGTGGTGTTCCTGGTGTTGTTAAGTTACCTTAGGATCCGCTTCATTAGACTCCTCATTCTCTTGTGATACATACCAAGCATCTAATTCCTCCTTAACTTCTTTAATAAAGTTATCATGGCAGCATCGTTGAGTAAAGCTGTCAACCTTGGAAGGGATCACATCCCTCCATAGAGTATTAAATGTAACAGGCTAAAGATGATGATACAGTACTACAAGTAGTATGAACATGATACTACTACTACAGACTTACAATAGATCTAAGAACATTCCGTCCACTTTGAACAATAGACTCTCTACATATCTTGTGATGTTGTATCACGATCTGTATTGGGGTTAGTATCCAAAAGAAAGCCACCATGGGTACCTCATCTAGTAATCTTCTACTAACTGTGTCGTGCCCCTTCACTCTCTCATATGCTAGGTCTTCTCTATTTATGTTACTTCGAATATGTGCCTAACAATTACTAAGGTCGGCGGCGGCGGCCTAGATCGATATGCTTACTGTAATATCGTTAATACTATCTTTGAATGATTGTATTCTACTATGATCTATACATATGGTAGTAGTAGTCTCATTAGAATTATCCTCCCTGCCATAGGTATTATCAACACCATAATGATGTAATACTACTGTATAGTCCTAGCAGCAACTGATGGTACGTCTACAGTGAGGAGGTGATTAATCGATGATGTGGTAGAATGATTGAGTATCTCCTAAACGGTATGTAGATAATAGCAGAGTTCTCTTCTAGTACTGACCATATTCTTAGTGAATAATATAGTTAGAGTATCACCACTAGTAATAAGTCCTTCTGCTATCATGTGTTCTCTCTCTATCATCATCTTGGCTTCCTTCTCTTTCTTATTACGATATATATCCAATTCCGCTGACATAATGAGGGATCTCTGTCGTCTAGATAATAGAGTATTAAGCCTCTAACCTTAATAATAGTCCTACCTATATTCATCGATCTCTAGCTGTATATCCCTGGCTATTCCCTCTACTGTATGCATCATACGTTTTATACCCTTCGCATACGTTGTGCGCGGACTTGGAGTTCGATCGCGTGCGCCTCCGCCGCCGCAGCAGCAGCACAAGATACGCCTTGGAACGGCTGCCATGTTAAATGATCATGTGTATGGATTACACTGTCCATGTGTGGATGTAGTAACCTTAGCAACGACATCATTGATCTACTTTTCCCCCTCCCTTGTATCTAGTGTTATATTATCGACGTTTGTCTAACTCTTGTTAAGTGTGATATGTGATTTTAGACTAAAGTAATTGTAGTAGTTGTGTTGTAGTATGAAGGTATGGGAAGATTGAATGCGTACCTATGTTGTAATGGTCATTACCTTAGTAATATGATGTACTACTGGTCGGTGGACTCTTGATATAACATTGCTCGCTAGCTTCACTATACACCACCTCCTCTACTAGCCCTTACTATGTACTTTCGAGGTATACCCCTTGTGTTCATACTCCAACACAATACCAGTTGCCCAATAGTATTCTCATATGATGGCTACTAGTAGTATGGATGAATCGTTGTATCCTTCTCCTTCTACAAATGATGATGATATAGAGTCTAGACAAGCTATTACTACTTCTAGTAGAAGGCTTACTAAGTGATATACGGCTCATTCTGTGATATACTATACGATATTCGAATAGATATCGACTATGGCATTTTGATGAGATGAGAGGTTCATCAGACCCAGATGCAGAGCAAGGGTAGTATTAGTAATTCAATCATTATAACCTTATCATCATTATACTTCAGGCATCAGATGGTGTCACCTTTACTATTCTATTTTGGAGGAGCACTTGATATTGGCTTTACATCAACATGTAGGTATATCCTTGTATATAACATATCACTTGTTTATAGGTACATTGATAGCAGCAGGAGTTGACTTGCGTGTACGAGATAAGTCGGTATCAAGTATCATGAGTACTATTGGTCTTGCTGTTGTGGTAGCATTGAATGTAGGAATAGACACTTTTGGTGATAAGAATGATTATGATTAGTAGTAGTAACGATGATTATTTAGGAAGTGATCGTGCAGCTATACATCATTATAATCATGAATTCTCTCGAGAACGATGGGAACATGATATAGCTCCTGAGCATGAAGTGGAGGTAATAGTAGTAATAATAATAACACAGTCTTCTACTTCCTATTAGGAGTATATCAATTATGCTACTAACATTGGAGTACCTACTGCTGACGCTGAGAAGATAGCACTTATGATGGTAGTAATTATGATATTAATAGTGATAGTATCTATGAATAGATTCAACATCAACAACTATCCATACCACATCATCTGGTATTTGAATTGGGTTTACTACGACCATCGTGCTATCATCAACCGGAGTACTTTGCAGCCTCTAGAGTTGCAGGTAAGTAGTACACATAGTAGTAGTTAGTGTGTTGTTATGATCTTTAGGTATTATTCTTGGTTTCCTCTCAGCAGTTGGTATAGCTTCTATTATACCTAGTAACAGGAGTATATCTAGTCTGGTAGGGTATAGAATAATATAAATGATAAACTAACTACTTTATTATTAGGGTATGATGTGGCTTTGTGGTAGTATGGTATTACCATTATTACGTTATAGGCATTTGTGGAATCTACCACAATTCAAACGATTCGTCCTAACTCAGAGTAATGGTGTATAAATCTTTGTAGTCCACTACTACTACTCCATCTTCTAGGTGCATATTTTGGTGCTATCCTCCTCTCAGCGAGAAGGATTCACTCTTTCCACTGTGAATGATAATATGAAGGTGGTCGATTAATGATAAAACATTTATTTATGATAGTAAGATGTTATAACAACACCAAGTCCATCATGCACAATTGTAGGAGGTTTCATATCTTCTCAACGTAGATCATTGATCATATACTCCTGTTGCTGTTAGTGCTATCATCAAAAGGGAAGGGGTTCGCGAGGGAGAATATCACTGTTCAGTTATATCCTTACTATCCCTATTATCGAGTATTAGTCTCTAGAAGGCAACCTTGTGATGATGAGCATGGTGCTACTAATGAGCAAATGCATATTATGGGGCATGTACTGTTACAATACTAGTAATCAGCAAAATAAGGCTTCGACTAAAGTTCACATGGTATTGGTTATAGGATAGGAGGATTATTAATAAAGCTAGTAGTAGTAGCATATGTCCAGTACTGAAGGTGAGGATAACATTAGAGAGGATTCTCCTATTCATCCATACTTGATGATAATAGATATAGATAGGGTGTATGATGATAGTATTCATCACGATATCTGCCTTCCTCTCCTCTATCACTACTACTACTACTACTACCCCAACAACAAGAAGAACAACTCATTATTACACCAATACTGTTCATTTGATAATTATCCAGATATGTGGGATTATTCAATTATGATGACAAGGTATGATACACTATTGGTCAATGGTGGGTCTTAGTTGGGGAATAAGACTACCAAGGGGGCTCGATGATGAGCAGCTGCTGCTGCTGCTGCTGCTCATTTTAGAATATACATGAAGGATATCTTTCGATTAAGAAACTATCTGCGTGGGAATCGAACCTACGACTAATTCGAATAGAGACATTATTCATTTTATCATGTCCATAACTGATCGAGCCCCATCCTAATTGAAGAGGGCGTAGTAGTAGTAGTAGTAGTAGTAGTAGTAGTAGTACTCCTATCCACTTTGACGGCCTCTTCTTCCTCTTTTCACCAATATATAACACACCCTCCACTGCAGGGTGGCCTATCATATCCTCTTATAGGAATTAAATATACAAAGACTTCACGTCATGTTACAACAGCATCGATGCTACTCCCACACGTGTATATGCGCGGCGCAGTGCCTCGTCCGCGTACCGTCTGTGTGCGTGCAAGGTGGTACTATCCAATTCCATAGCAATCATAGTTACGACGACAGAGTGATAATGTTGTTATCGTGATAGTGTTCGATTATAGTGTTGTTGACCTATTACGCATAATGGGTCCTCGTAAGAAGCCAGTGGTATCTCCTCAACCTACGAAAGGTAGTCTTAGTACCTATACACGGAGGGAGCCCCTTCATCATGATGATAATGTTGGATATGATGAAGATGATGATGATGACATCGACCATACCAAAGATGATAATGATCTGGTAGGGCCGGAGGAAGAGGAGGAGAATACTTCATTGGAGGAGTTTGATGAGGTTGAAGTTAAGGTAGGGTCTAGGAGGATTTAACTACCTACAGCATATAGTATAGGGAATTGATTGTTGGCTCCATCCTCCTCCTTATCGTGGTCGTCATGGTAATGATGATGATGCTGGATACTATGTGGATGAGTCGATGTTGTTGCTACCACAAGAGATGAAGGATAGGTTAACTGGATGGAAGAGGATACATGTATTGATACTAATGATTAAGTATCTTTATTGATAATAACAGGTTGATGGTACTCTTATGGATATTCCAATGTCATATGATGATACTACAGGTGTACATCACCAACAACAACTGCTACTGCAACAACCTTCTACAGTAAGTATAATACATCATCCTTCTTGTGGGTTAATATAACCCGAATGTAGGATATACTATCAGTCAAGGATCAACTACTACTAAACCATGATGTGATGATGACAGCCAAGGAGAAGGAGGAGGTGAGTACTCATGATCATAAGCATGGTACCTCATCATGACTATTATCAACATAATAGGATGGGAAGGTGGTTACAGTCCCCGAAAGCTGCATCCTATCACGTATGCAGTATTATACTCGTAAGGCTCACTTGGAAGATATAGGCTGCCAGATGCATCATCATCATCAGCAGTCATCATCATCATCATCATCGATAAGTAGGGAGGATGGTTAAGAGTATGAGTATGTTATAGTAGTAGGTATATGGTTGGCATCTAATATATCCCTTGTTGCTCGTCATGAAGAGTACATACAAGAGGGATGCTTCTTATGGGAGCTTATACATCCTCAGGTTCTATTACTACTCATACTACTACTATTCATTTATACTTAGATTAACCTCAATGATATAGAGAAGAGATCTGAAGTAGAGGGATCATCATCAACAACAACAACACCTCATGTAAGTAGTTGTATTAGTAGTACTCCCTCTTCCTCTTTTCTATGTTGTCATCAGACATCATCATCATCATCATTCGGATATCCTATATATAACCCGAATGGGAGGTATATAGTAAAGCTGTATTATGAGGATAGATGGAGGAGGATAGAAGTAGTAATAAGTGGAGTAGGTATACTATAGATGATCATGTTAGATTGATGACCTCATGCCAATGACCTCAACGACCACTCTCACAACTACCTCATCATTATCATCAAACCCTCCTTCTCATCTCATGTTACCCCGAGCTCATGATGGAGGTCTCTGGCCTGCTATATTGTGCAAGGCTCTACTCAAATTAGCCTCTATAAGTAATGTTATACACTAACAACAGTAGAGTATAATAACCAATTAGACCATGAACATCATCTTTTTGAATTAGGTGGTTACAATGGTGATAACTTAATGATGGAATTTGATGTAATATCAGCTCTAACAGGATGGTGTAGGAGGACACATCTATCATCGAATCGAACTCTATCCCAAGAACTCTCAACAGAAATAGCTAGCCATAGTCTATTCCTCTCCATCGATCACATACCTCTAGACGTTGGTCAGGGAAAAAGAAGAAGAAGAAAAAGCGATACTGAGGTAGAGAATAAGAACACTAGTTGTCGCTGCAATAGGATAGTATTAGTAGGTAGTAGTACCCTGCCGATGGAGTGTGCATCGAGTCGAGGATATTAACATACATGATGATGATAATAGTAGTAGTAAATGCTATACTCTTATACAGTTAGCCAAACTACATTCTAATATGAGGCCTATAGGGAGTGTATCAGGATCATTGAGGTCATTACGACTTGTTATTGTTATCTAATAACACTTATTGCTATTTAGCCGGGCACGTCGAGTATTGATAGATGGTGATGATGACTCAGAAGTAGAGGAGGAGGTAGAGGAGGAGGAGGAGGATATACTCAGTAGTTTGCTACTACTACTACTACCACCACCACTGCTGCTGCTGCTACCCACAGTTCAGGGACTACCTGCTCATTATCATTTAGGTCATGGGGACAGCGTTATTAGTAATGCATCATCAAACTCCTCTCATACACCATCACATTATTCCTCTTCGGGTGAGCAGTATACATTCCCTATCGTAGTTAACATCTCTGCATCATCATCATCATTGTCTAGACGAGTCCTATCCTACTTGTACTCCCTCCTCTTCTTCCTCATCCCTACTAGATGGGAGTAGTATACCTATTGATCCTCGACAACTAAGCATACTTGACGGTAAGATGATCATCATCATCATTAAGGTTGGGGGGTATTAAGATGAATAAACATAGTCCAATCTGTAGAGCGTCATAGAGGGAGTAGTATTATGAAATGGAGGGAGTTGAAGGATGATGAGGGATGTTGGATGGATATCACTGCTATAGAAGGATGCTCCTCATACTCTGTCTACTCACCTTATGTTATTACTGCTAATCATACTATCACTGGGACTCAAAAGGATGAGGGGATCCTCTCTCAACAACACAACTATATGGAGGTATGTTACTACTACTACTACTACTACTATTGCTGCTCCTAACACAACATGGATCGATAAACAGCAGGTGTATTAGGTATCAATAGACAGCCAGGAGGATGGAGTATGGCTGATAGCACAGTTGGTATCATCATCATCATCATCAAGGCACACTACTGAGGTGATTATTATCCTCACAACAATATCCCCTTTATCCTTCTTGTGCTTGCTCTCAGGAGATGTCTAAGGAGAGGTCATTGGTTATATCGTCATTCCTTTCTCAACCTTCATCATCTGATAAGAGCCTTACTACTCCTACTAGTGCTCTACATCCTATACTACAATTAGATGATGATAAGCCCTATGGAGTAACATACCATGATACTACTACTACCCTCTCTGATGGATGTCATAGGATGTGTAGGTATATTGGATGGATAGGATCAACAAGGATCATGCAACGTCATCATCATCATACTGTAGGAGCACTCTCCACTTACATGCCTCCCACCATCTCCAACATCTACGAATATGTCTTATGAAGGCTTATGATGGTGGTGGTGGTTATACTCATAATAATAATAATGATTCTGTGCTTTATGGTACCATACAATTCCACACTGATGTTAAAAGGGCTGCTGCTGCTGCTATTGCATCATATCATCATAGTCATCATAGTGCTGATGATGATGATGATCCTCGAGAGGACACTACCCCATTGGTCCTACTCCTTAATATGAATACTCCTACTCCTTCTCCTAGGGTTGGATATCATTGTTTATCAAGAACTGTTATTCATCAATCAAGTGAGGGAACATATATGAGGATCTTTATTGATGGAGACATCATCCCTCCATCAATAGGGATGTACATCACTTGTTACAAGATCCTACATCCTAGTCAGCCTACTCTACTACCTAGTGAATGCATCTTTGATCTCCTACCACTCCTTCCTCATCATGACTATCTAATACCTCCACATGGTACTTATATGTTCATCATTGATACATTCGATAGTATACAACACCTGAAGTGTATAAGAGTTTATGGTGCTCTTGGTATGAGTAGTAGTAGCAGCAATAGCCAGCAACAACAGCAGTTATTGAATGATGAATCGAGTAGTAGTGGAGATGATAGTGAGGTCGTCATCACCCATCGTATGGTATGGAAGGAGGAGGGTGTTACTCCCAAGCCTCCTCATTATGTTATACTACGAGAGAGGATTACACTCATCCCTCATAATGCTACTACTACTTCTAATAATAACAACCTATTGGTATCGATAGGCATACAATACTATACACCACAATGGTATACTGCAACAGCAGCAACAGCAACAGCAGCCTCGTGCCGCCGTATTCGAGGCCGACTATTAGTCCAGAGACCACCACCACCACCTTCATCGACTGCTGCTGCTGCTGCTGTTGCTGATCCTCATGATGATAGTAACGTTGAAGCTTATGGTACACTCAATGTTTGGCGACAATGTATTGATATTATTACTGAGGTCTGGGCCGATCAGGAGGAGGAGAAGAAGAAGAAGAAGGGGCATCATCATTATCATCGTCCTACTACTACTATCAGGTTACCTTATCTTAATCTTTCCCCTGGTGTTGTTTATATTATCGAATGTTGTCTTGATGGTGATTCTCTATCACATTATAGTGATTCCCTACCTTCCCAAGGGTACTGGACTTTGGCTGCTCACTGGGTAGGTCATGCTGCTACTGGCGTAGAAGATGATACTGTATTAGAGATAGGAAGGGATACTATGCAGGAAGATCTTGAGGCACTATGTAGAGATAGATGGGCACTGGGGAATCCAGATAGAGCACAGAAAGCTGCTACTTCTAGGAAAACATATCATGACTGTATTGTAAATAATATCAGTAAAATAACAACACCAAGAGGCTGCTCGATGATGAGTATGGAAGACCCTCATCATAGTGATAGACGAGTAAGGGCATTCCTATATGATACTGTACAGCACATGGTGACATCGTGTGAGGACGCCTATAGAGTGGATCCACTGGATACATCAAGGAGGGTGATTTTGGATAAGGAACTGCATAGGGATGTTGATAATGATATGGGTATATGGGATGTTATGATGAGAGAGGAGCTTAGACAGTGTTATACAAACACAAATATTGATCATCCGATTAAACTCAATACTATCATTAAGAGTAATACTATTGGTATCATATCGGAAGAATCGGGTCCAACACGTGGTGATATACGGCACTTTATGAAGAAGAGAATTCAGTGTGTTGAGGAGGTGAAGAAATATCTACTACCATCTACAAACGATCAGTTATCGTTGGATGATGTTATGATTAGGCTGAGGGAACTTGTAGAAGATGGAAAAAGAATGAATGTACTGAGGATTGAACCCGAGACCTTCGATAAGGCATGTAGAAAGTTATCTTTGTTTGAACTCATCCATACAGTATGTAAAGTGTCCTCGACTGAAGGTGGTATCGATGATAGTACGGATCTTGCTCAACTGGCCGACCACTTCAATAAAGCAGAGGAACTGATAGACTCTCTTATCACAGCTGGGGTTTATATAGATGAGGATAAGGTGAAGGAAGTATTGGCTAATGCCGAGAAGGAAATACTTAAAGTAACTGATCCATGGCTCTATGATGATCGGGAGGAAGATTGTCCATGATATACCGTCTTGTTAATACTTACATCCTGTTGAGTTGCAGCACCAATCTAGTGGTAGTACTACCTTATACATCCATATAACTTGAAACCTAGCATTTACCAACAGTATCGTTTATTATACCCAGAGAGTTGAACTCTGGAGTTACAATGTTATCCGTTGATAACATCCTGCTGCACCCATCATGATAATTATGTTGTTCTCAGTAATGACTAACTTATAGGGGTATACAACCGTTTACCACGGAACAGGTTATCTTTAGAGCTCTCGATGTTAAAACAATGATGGTAATACTACTCCGTAGCCCATGGTCGACCTCCTACAACATCCGCTATGATACTACTCTTCTATATACTAGGAATACAACACAGGAGTGTATCAGCATATCCATCAACGACCGTATTAGAATGTATCATCATGCAGTACATTATCATTGGTGAGAGAACTCTTCTCAAAAGTTACGTATCCAGCAGCTACTATCGGTATGGTAGTAACTGGGGTATTAACTTCATCATCTTCACTCCCGGTTCCATAACGACGATGCTTTGCAATCTATAATATGAGATAATAAGAATAAAGAATATATCAATAAACCTACATAGGAGTTGATACAACTCCTTAAACGTCGGTGTTGTGAACTAACAGCTGCGATTGCTCCTCCTCCTCCTCCTGCTCCTGCTGCTGCACATTGATACATATCCATTATGGAACTTGATGCCTCCTCTTTAGCCTCTTGATTAGATAATGACAATTCATCAGGTGAAAGGAAGATTGCTACTGTCTTAAAGGATACTGTTGGGAAGGATGATGATACTGTATCTACTATAATCTAAATTATACGAATAATGATACCAGGACTTACTACCATATGATGACCCTGATACGGCACGATTGTTGATGTATACTAAAGCGATATAATCCTTATCAGGGCGGAGATCAGGGAGTGCTAATGACAATAAGAAGAAGAAGGAGTGGTACTACTATGTGAATAATACCTCGTTCCTCATCACATGAACCGAATAGTAGACGTATAGGGAGGGTCTTATCCAGCTTATCAATTGATTTACGGATAATATCCGACGATGGTGAGCTCAAATCCAACACTTTTCCAGTGTCATTACCTACCAAGTATTATCATATCATATACGTGCTACTCGTTATAACATACTCGTAATAGACGATGCAATATATGAAGGTTTGAAGGCTTTAGAACATGTAAAGCTCTGTGAAGGGACATCCAGCCCCCATCCTCTTCTATGGGATAATAGTCTTATCCCCTTCTCACTCGATGATGATGATGATGATGATGATGATGAACACTCCCGTCTTGATATCATAGCCTATAAAGACTGTGATCATGATGATGATGAAGTAATTAAGTATTACATATCCACGTGGTATATAACATAAAGTATAGTATCCAGCATTATTAGCCCTATTATTGTGCTTACTATTACTACTATCACCACCATCAATAACATCTGCATTATAATATTATATATTATTCATACTACTAATAAACCTTACTAGTGGTTACTACTGATTTGTCCGATACTTCATGTCTTAACTGCCCTCTCATAGTACTAGTGGAGCTAGGTGTTGATAATATCTATCATTAGGATTATGATGATGATGACGACTAGTATTACTGGCGATCCTACTCCTCCTCCCCTTAGAGCTGATATTGATAACTTATCTATTCCCACATCTTCATCATCAGACCTATCTCAATATAATCCTTATGATGATATTATTCTATTGTCTTACGGTATATCATCCCAACTCTGTAATAAGAAGCTACTACTACTACTCGATGGCAACTTTTGAGTCCTACCATTACCATGTCTTGAAGAAGATGAGGACCTACAAGTAGTAGCATTAATGACTATGAACTTCATACAAGGTATTACTCATCCCATTTTCCTTGTCCACTTATATTATTATTATCATATATAAGTGTAATATAACCAACAGCTAAAGTGGCTCCATCTTCCCCATCACCATCTCTACCAGCATCACTCTAATCATTAATAACAAGAGTAATAGATATGTTCTCATTACTATTATTATTACCATATCATTAATACATTGTGATGGGCTCTTCTTATTCTTCTTTTTGTTGTTGTGATTCTCCCGATGACCACAGTGATCTATATACATGAGAGTGTTTACTATATCACTTCTCCTCCTATTCATAACATCATATCCACCAGCATGAAAGAAGAATTGGATAGGGTAGAATAGTATTACAGTCTTATAAGATACAATACTCGATGATGATGATGATGTACCTTAGATATACAAGCTCCTATGAAGAGCAATAGTGGACAATAGTGATGTTTACCAATAATGGTAGTAGCATGATGTTGATCTATTCTGTCCATACCATCCCTTTCAGCATTACTATTAACAATAACCAATGCCATATAATCATTATGATCATCTAGATCAGGTAGACCTAATACACCATATACTACTACTATTAATTAATACTACTACTCTTAGTATCTCCTAAACAATCATTAAATAGCATATGTAAGGTAGTATCCTTATCCATTGAGGTAAGAGTGTTCCTTAATGTTCCCTCATTGGTGAAATCCAAAGTCTTCCCTATTTTCTGTATTGGCTGATTACCTGAGTATTATAATAATAATGATGACTTCCTCCTCCTCTTCCTCTCCTACTATTCCTACTATTACCATATATAAAGTCAATAACATTAGATGGTGTAAGCCTCCTTGAACATGATAATTGAGCATCAGGTGCGGTAAGGGGGGATGGGTTAGAAGAAGAAGAGCTTTCATCATCATCACTGTTCAACATCATAGAGGATGGACATATCCTCCGTGATAAGGATGCCTAATGATGGTCTTCATAATTACGTGTATTATTGAGTATTGTATTACTGTTGATCCCTTAGGAAAGTAACATGTAATAACATCAAAGCTAATATTATCATCATCATCATCCACGTGTCCCTCATCCTTATCATCACCTCGTAGTAATAGTGTAGTACGACCTAATACATACCTATCAACAATATCCTAGTAATACCTCTTTACTACTCATTAACGATGATGTTTGAGTCGTCTTCGTCGTGGTCGGCTGTATACTACGATGAATAACCCCACTCATATTGGGAGTATTCTTATTGTCAGTGATAGGCGCCTATACAATAGTATAGAGTATAACTCTTCTTATTATTATGCTTACCATTAAAGGTATCCTATCTGGTTGGTCGGTATCATCTACTATTATAGGATATCTAATAAAGATCATCATCACATTAACATACAACGATTATCTTTATTATTACCCTTTATTATCCCATACCTCTAAAAGACTACTATCATGTTGAGTCGGGTTAGATTCATGATGATGATGATGCCTGATAGTAAGGACTACTAGTACTATTGATTAAGTAATACCACCACCTTCTTCGAGGGTTTCGCCTTATCTCGTTATCTGTTTCCTTACCTCTCAATGAGCCCAATGTTAAGAATGATAACATATCATCATCAATAGAGTGAGTAATGGTAGATAGTAGTAAACACTGAGCATTATATCATCATCCCATCATATACCATATTATTACCAGTAAGCATCGCAGCAGCATCCTCCTTATAGGAATAATAAGACAATTATTATCAATTAATTATAATGGCTAACAGAGGACGTATATGCATACTCAATATGGGTCGTCGTAGGTATAGGTTGTGCAGTAATGGCGCGCGCCCTGATGATCGATATTATGACACCTGGGGCCGTATGCGGATCCTGATGCAACAGGTGAGTCAGAGTATTTACTCAGATGAAAAAATCAGATGGTGAGTAATAACCCCTGATTCACTGATTTTTTACTCTGGAGCGAAAAATCAGGATCATCGCGAGGACATGTGGATCTCTGAGCTGATTCGAGAATCTAAAGTTGATTTTTTGGCTGATTAATACTCTTACTCAATATGCCTTGCTCATGAGGCTGATTTTTCGGGTGATTCCATTGAATCTGAGTATTTTCGAGAATCAGGGAATCAGAGTTTGAATCAGACATTTTTGACAAGACGAAGATTATAGTCGCTACGCCCCACAACCGAAAGTGACAATTTCAAGAAAGGAAGAAAACGTTACTGTACGAGGGTTGAACCTGGTAGATTCGCCCCGAATGCATGCACATTTCCCGTTGCGTTACAGCAATGATAAAATTTCGGAAGAAGATCTTCTGTCGCACTTGTACACATCCGTACTTCAAACTTTTCAATATGTTCACTCGGAATCAACTAACTCTGGGTTTCTAACTCAGAAGTTCTAAGAGGAAGCTCAGCGCTAGAGCTTCCTTCTAGAGCTTCCTTTGATAACCGGTAGCGTGATCGGGTGTCGTTATCGGACAATCCCTCAAGAGGATCGACGAAGGGCATTTATTGTTTTTATGAACAATTAATTGAATTAAGGAATGCGTAGTTCACAGTGTGAACTTCACACCGTGTGGCTGCATGTACCACATGCGCTA